CAGCAGCTCCTTCAGCTCCTCCATCGTCTGCTTGTTGGCCACTTCGTCGTGGACCGTCTGGCCGCAGTTCTTCACCACAGACTCCATGACCTGGGGGACCCGAGGGAGGGCGGGCTCGAGCCACCGCCTGGGCCAGGGCCGGCTGCCTTGGACAGGCCCCTCGGGCAGCTGAGCCCCCGAAGAGTCCCCGTGGCAGCTCCGAGTCAGGCAGTAAGCGACACTACGCGCTCCTTCTGACTCAGTTCCGTAGCCCCGGGGCACAGATGAGAACCCACCCTAGCGCCCGCCGGCTTCAGGGGGTGGGCAAGGCACTGTCCTCCGTCAGGGCCATTCCGACCTGCCCTCACGCCGCAGGCAGACGGGCGAGGCCCCAGGGTCAAGCGGTCCCTGCCCTCTAGAGACTGGGGTGGTGACTCTGGAGGGGGCCGGCATGCGGGGGTCAAGTTACCTCCAGGGCGTACAAGGCCACATGAGGATTCTTGTCGTTGACTTTCTTTTTGATGGAACTCACGGCATATTTGGCTCTGAAAGAAGAGGGTGTTGATGAGAGAGAAGAAAGAAAAAAAAACCACCTTAAAAGCTAAGTTGAAAAAATCTCCCATCCTCTGATCTTCAAAATCCCCAAGCAAATGTCAAGCACCTGCAGGCGGTACAGAGAAAACCCTTCCCTTGTCCCCAGATCCCCAAAACCCCAGCGTGGAGACCGTGCAATTCTCCACCTAAGGCCTGGCGTCCTCGACATCCACCACGGCAGGACGCAGTGGGATCGCGGAGCATCAGCGCGTACCAAGGGAGCCGGGAGCGCCATGCTGCCGTCCCTCCTGCTTCTGAGCAGGCACAGACCCTCCTCACTTACTGTGTGTCCCCCTGGCGGATGAGGTCACAGATCTGGAGGATGGACTCCCAGTCGGTCTCCAGCAGAAGCTGGCTGGTGGCTTTGTCTACGGCAAAATCACACCGTCACCGGGGCTTATCCTCTGTGATTCCCTGGCCGGCCCCACCACTCAGCAACAGAGAGAAAGAACCACCTGCTTCCCATTTAAAACATTTAGACGGAATGGAAAACCACATGAAAATCCTCCTGACAACCAATAATCATGAGTGCTCTCCTTCCAAGAAACAAGGCAAACAGCTTAGGAAACGCTACCAGCACGCCTGCTGCGCACCTGATGCAAACACTTCCGTGATCCCAGAGTTCCCACACCGCCTCCTGAGCACCGTCCTATCTACGGCGTCTTTACCCACAAACACAACGAAGCCAAGAACGGAGGTCACTGCCTGAAGTCACCCCACTTGCCAGTCTGAGCCAGGCTTTCACACAACACTCCGCTGCCTCAACCCCAGTCCCCCGTATTCCCCACGTTGAACCTGCCCAATGAGATCGGAGCTGGGGCCAGGATGGAGCCAGGACTGGCCTCCAGGAAGTATTTTTCAGCTAACACCTGTACGCTCTGCCCATCACAGCTGCCTCTCGCACGCACACACGCTCTGCTCCCCCTGCCCTGCTGCTCTCCTCCCTGGATGGGGGGGGGGCGCCGGGGGTGGCTAATAAGGTGCCTGGACACACAGCTCTGATCCGATAGTGACTTCTGGACTGAGCTTTGGCTGACCCACCCCTCAGCCTGCACGTTCTCAGAACAAGAAAGGTGCCTCATCCGAGGTCTCCTCCAAGGCCACGTCCAAGGAAAAACGCAGGCTCTGGCCCACTGCCGAGAACCCAGGACACCCACCCCAACAGAGCCCACCCAGTTTCACGTGCCCCCAAACATCTATTTCCTTTGGCTAAAACTGATGACCTCCAAGATGCTCAGAGAGGATCGGCTGTCCACCCCTGACAGAGGCCTCCCGGGAGCCAGGCGGGGACAGACAGGGCTGGCCTGCCTCCCAGGGAAGCAGCGCTCTAAGAGCGCGGCAGGTCCCGGGAGGACACTACCGGCTCCACCCTTCGGAGCCCGATGTTCGGGGCACCCTCGGTTCCCCTGCAACCTAGGATCTGGGGGGAGGGGGTCTATCGGACTCGGTCGCCCGTTTCCGTGACTCAGGACTCGTGGCCCGCTCAGTCAGATGCCCGAGGGCCCCGGGACCGATCATTTCCCCGGGGCCCTGACCGCCCCTGCCCAGGAGCGGAGCCCCGAGCACAGTCGCCGCGAGCGCGGGCCCGGCCTCCTCCGCGGACCCTCACACACTCGGGTCGCAGCCCGCGCCCAGCGCCCTGGACGGCCGGGTCCCCGCACCGCCGGCGCGCCCACCCACACCCCGGGAACCCGGGTCGCTCGGCGGCTGTCCCCGGGCTCCGCTCCCGGGATGCTCTCCAGCCTCGAGGGGCGGAGGCCGCGTTACCTAGGAGACGCTCGAAGGTGCCGCTGCCGCGCCCCATGGCGACCCTGGACCCCGACCCGACGCCGCTGCGCTCTCCGCTGCGAACCGGCGCGCCCCCGACTTCCGCTTCCGCCTTTCCCTCGGGCGCGCGCACACGCGCGTCACCAGGGCGGGCCGCCGCGAGCCGCGAGCGGCGATCCGGGAGCCGCGAGGAGGCGGGCTTTTCTACTGGCCCCAGACGCAGTGCGCCGATTGAGCGCCGAGAACCAATGAACAGCTCGGACGTGAGACTAGCCAATGAGGGCGGGGTGGAGGGCGGGACTTTCGCCGAGCTACGGGGGCCGGCTGGGGTCGGAGGCCGTGATGTGTTTGCTGCTGGGGCCCTCGGGCGTCGGGAAGACGCTGTTGGTGAAAAGGCTGCTGACTATCCTTCCGGGGCCGGTGGGCGCGGGGCCGGGCGGCTGGTGCGGGCGTCGGGTGCTCCCGTGGGCGCGGGGACGGGGCCCGGGGGCGGGGTGCGGCCGCCGCCCGCCTTCCCCTCCCGGCTCGGGATCCTTGACTGCCCGCACAGCTGAGCTCCGGGGATGGGAAGGGCGATCTGGGCGACCCGCCGCCAACGCGGCCCACGGTAGGCCTCCGCGCTCCCGCAGGTGCGGCGGGCACGCGCGGCGAAGCGCGTCGGGCGGGTTTCAGGGGAAGCTGGAGCCCGGCCGTCCGCGCGCTAACGCGGCTGTCGCGGAGCGGGGCGTCCTGCCTCCCGGGGCAGGGCTGCGGCGGACGTGGGTGGGCGCATGGCGGGGCCCCGAGCGCCCGCCCCGCGCCCCTGGTCGCACTGCTTTCCCTGCGCGCCCCAGAGGCGACCCGCACGGATGGGGGTCGGAGCTGTGGCCTCAGCCCGCTCTGGGGCTTCGGGCCTGGACCTCTGGAGGCCGCTTCGGCCTTGCTGGCTGGGGGCTGTGCTCCAGGGTCTCGGCCCTCGAGAACGGGCACCGTGGGGTTCGGATCAGCGTGGAGGGCGGCGCGCGCTCCTCCCCAGGAGTTCCCAGTGGGGAAGCGCTTGTGTCCGTCGTGCTCCGGGGTTTTTCCACAGGTGGGCACCGACCTGACGGACATCGTGGTGCCGAGAAGGATCACCGTTCGGGAGCTGGGGGGCTGCATGGGACCCATCTGGCCCAGCTACTACGGAAGTTGCCGTTGTCTCCTGGTAGGTCACGACCCCCAGAACTTGTTCAGCCACGGCCGGTGCTGGACCGCACTCCCCACCGGCTGGAGTTTGGGTTCCCAGGCAGTTGTGCTGGTCGCCTGCTTCCTTTTGGAAATCCAGCTGGACCCCTAGCGCCCTGTCCCAGAGGTGACCTGTCAGCCCACGTGGGGCTTGCCGGCAGCAGGGTTCCTTCTCTGCCGGGAACGAGCTTGCTCTCTGCACCGCTTCCCTGCCTGTGTTCTGTGTGTTTGATCTCTGCATGCCCCGTCCCACCCTAGCAAGGCCTGTGCCCCAGACCCCTGGGCCCTGCCTGGGAGAACTGATGCCACATAAGTAGAGAGAGTCCGGTACGGGCGGAAACAAGCGGCCACAGGTCACTCTCGGGCAGCTCGTTTCTCTTTACCTCCACTGATCCCAGAGCCCTTTGTTTAAAGTCATTTTGGTTTTCTGAGCCAGATTATGACGCTCAAGGAAGGGGATTCGGGAAGGACTGTCTCCCTCATGGGGTGGCCCTGGTCTGCATTTTTTCTTCCCTAGTTCATGATGGACGCCGCTAACCCCACTCAGCTGTCTGCGTCCTGTGTGCAGCTCCTGGGTCTCCTTTCTGCAGAAGGACTCGCAGAAGCATCGGTCTTGATACTCTTCAATAAGATGTACGGGTCTGTCATCCTGGAGAGCGTTGGGGTGCCCCCGTGAGGAGGTCCCTCGGAGCGTAGCCAGGAGGGTGGCTCGTGGAGGGGGCGTTTAGCAGGGGTTGGGATGGGCCTGGGTAGCTCACCTGGACAGGGCGCTCCTTCTGCTCTAGTGATCTGCCGTGTTACATGACCGTGGAGGAGATGAAGTCCTTGATGAGGCTCCCAGACATCATTGCTTCCGCCAGGCAGGACATCAGCACGGTGGAGATCAGCGCCCGCAGGGGCACTGGCTTGGCGGCAGTGCTGCGCTGGCTCCAGGACACCCACAGAGCCGACGGCTGACCCACTGCCAGGAGTAGCGCCACTGGCCGGCCCTGGGGAGGAGGCTGAGAACAGCTCTGCTTGGCCTGGGGCAATCTGTTCTTACAGGGACAGGATGGCCCCACAGAAGCCTAGGGGATGGGCTTCTGGCCTGAGTTGCAGTGCTGTGTAAACGGAGGAATCCCGGTTCCAGAAACTCTAGACAGCTGGCCTCTGAAAGAGATCGTCCCCAGAGCTGGAAGGAGGACAGGGTGTCCTATGCCCGTGCTGGGCTGACGCTACCGGGGTGGATTCCCTTTCCCAGAGGTGTTTGGACTGCGCAGCCCCACAGACACGGTCTCTTAATGTGGTACAGGCTGTACTTGTTGAGTCTGTGACAGGCTGACGACACGACCCCCACTGTACGAGGCTGTTGTCAGGAAGATCTGAGCGTGTAGTCAGAACGAGAATGGTGTTTTCACTGGTTCATTTGCTCAGTGCACGGTCGGTCGTCGCGGAGGAGGGCCTAGTGGTCCTGCAGGTAGGCGAGGGTGGGGGGCAGCTCTGATAGATCGTAGGAGGTCCTGGCAAGCTCATCCTGATTCCCACCGAGGGGGCTTGCAGGAAAACAAGGGTGTATTCATTGTCGTGGGGCCTCCGTCACAAATTGCCACAAACTTGGTGGCGTAAAACCACCCAAATTTACACTCACAGTTCTGGAGGTCAGACATTGATCGCAGGTCGGTTCCTTCTGGAGGCTCTGAAGGAGAATGTGTTCCTCGCTTCTCCTCTGGCCTCCAGCAGCTGCCGGCCGTTCTCCATAGAACTCGGCTTGGGACGTGCAGACCTGGAATCCCTGCCTCTGTCCTCATGTGCTCTTTTCTCCTTAGAGGGACACTGGTCACTGGATTTAGGGCCTACTCTAAATCCAGGATGATCTTGAGATCCATAGTTACATCTGTAAAGACTTTTTTTGGAAACACTGTCATGCCTCCTGCTGCCAGGGCTCGAGGGAGAGGCGCTGGGCCGCAAGCCCTCTCCTCCTGGGTGTGCTGGTGCGTTTTCTACCAATGGCTTTCTCTGTCCCGGCTGGCAGTGGAGGCCAGCTGGGCTGTGAAGGACCTGTGAAGGACCCCCGTCGTGCGTAACAGCAGAATGGCGGCCTAGTCCCCAGCAGGGCAGGGCGGGTCTCCAGTCGGCTGTGTTGCTGGGGGCGGGGGTGTCTGTGCGGGGGCTGCAGACAAAACCTCAGAGGAGCTCTGGCAGAGACCACCAGGCCGCCAGTCCCCCTGCCACCGCATGGAAGCACTCCTCTCCGGAAAGGTCTGCTACGGCTGCGCGCTCCTGTCACTGCCCTCCAAGTCACACCACACAGCCACTGATGGCAGTGGCCTCCCCCACTCAGTCCTCGTGGATTTCAGTCTGGTACCCAGCGTAACTGGCCGTCCACCCCCCTTCAGACAACTTAAGCACAGCACACACTCAGGTGACAAACACCTGGCTCCACCTCTAGGGGTGACCCCAAGCTGGGGTCCATCTCTGATTTGGGCCTGGTGGCCCATGATAAAGCCAGCCTGGGCCGAGTTGGTGAGTTCTTGGGACACTGACAGGCCCGAGGTGACTGCACCTGTGGGTGAGCTGAACCTGGTTTTGAAAGGCAAACCTCCAGCCACAACCCATTTCCACCTTCTTGCTTTCATGCCACGCTTGGCGATGTGTCCAGGAGCATGGGTGTCTCTCAGGGACCACGTTCACTCCTGGCCTTGCCACCCTGCCCACGTCCTGGAATCCTAGCACGGGAAGGGTGCCAGGCACTGAGGGAGCGGCCTCGCTGCCTGCCCCACCGCCACCCATGATCTGCTGCCACGGTGGAGCCAGTGTTCATGGGTACCTGATGTCGGGGACAAGGCCCATGCCGCACGCAAACAGCCCTGAGACACTAGCCCTGCTCACAAACACCACTTCAACGCAGAAAGCTTTTCTTTTTTCCTTTTTGTTTTTAAGATTTTGACAGAGATCCCAAGTAGGCAAAGAGGTAGGCAGAGAGAGGGGAGGGGGAGAAGGCTCCCCGCCGAGCAGAGAGCCCGATGCGGGGCTCGATCCCAGGACCCTGAGACCATGACCTGAGCCGAAGGTAGAAGTTTTAACCCACTGAGCCACCCAGGCACCCCAACTCAAGTTTTAATTTGAAAAAAAAAAACAAAACAACTACAAAACATTATAAACGATGCAAATGGGGAAAAACAGAAGGATCCCACAGAAGCACACCACCCCACATTCTGAAGGGCCACCCTGGCCAAACCTGAGATGAGCTGTTCCCAAGCTGTTCAAGCCCGAAGCAGGGGACCAGTGCTGTCCTCACAAGGACGTGGGCAGTAGGACTCCCCCCTTTGCGTTCGACTGCCGAGAGGGCTCAGTGCCGTGCAGCTGAGCACGCTGACAACATCTGGGCATTCCCTCCTTAGGTTCTGCTGGAAGGTTCAAACCTTGCCAGGCCCTGCTGTTGGCAGGAATTGCCCCCATAGCCTTTTTAGCCATGGGAAGGTCCTAGGCCGGGGTCTGTCCTTGCCCTCAAGCTGCTTCAGACCTGCTCTTCTTTCCCCAAAGACCTTGAGAACACAAACCCCCTGGCAAACCTACCTTGCGTGGGGGCTGTCCTGTCTCCATACCCAGTGAGAGCCTGGGTGGACTCCACCTGCCTCTGCAGGGACAAGGCACCAGGAGCGCGCCCTCCCCACCCCCGCTCCGGCCTGCAGCCCGGCCTGTGCTCCCAGCTGTCCTGTGCCGTTGAACCACACCGAGCTTTAAATACAGATTCAGCCGATCGATTCTGCAGTGTCTCCCATGGACTGGCGCTGAATGACGGACTGTGGCATCGTCCTCTCTCCCTAAAGCAGCCCTGGGGGAGCGGAGCCTAGACCTGTGTGTTCAGAACAAAGCTGCGATGAGTGATGCCAGGTGTGCCTGACTGGCTGCGTCCGTCCCAAACGGGTGCTGGCCACTCTATGCGTACTTGGGACAGATAATGCCCTGTGTGAGCCCAGCAGAGGATCACTCACAAAAAAGCCATCTTAGGGAGAAAAAATGAAAGGCCAAAGGCCCGAAACCCTCTTCTGCGCTGGAGAGCCAGCACCTGGGGGCGTGGGAGTGCCAGCGTGTGCTCCAGGCACCCGGCCTCCCCGTGCCCGGGTGTGGAGGCCCTGCTCTCACCATCACAGACGCGTCCTGCTTTCTTCCTGGAAGTGAGGTGCGGGGAGCGGGCTGGCTGTGTTGACTGAGCCCCGGCCGCCGCTGCTGCTTCAGTGCTCGGTAGGCCTGCACAGCCCGCTCTCTCTCCTCCCTGATAATCCGCTGTCGGGCCAGCGACGTGCTCAGCGGCTGGGACACGCCGCCAGGGCTCAGAAGCCTCCTAAGCATCAGCGATTTCTTCCCAGGCTGAAGAACAGAGACGGAGGCTAAGGCTCAGTTCAGGAAGGAGGAGGGTAACAAAGGGCCCACGTTGGTCCAACGGCTGGATGCCCGGTGAGAACGTGGGACTCCGCGTGTAGGCCCTGGACCAGGTGGCCCTGAGGGACACCCAGGGCAGCTGCCCCCACTTACCTGGTCCCGGCTTGTGCTCGTCCTGGGCTGGGCGGTCAGCTCCGGGGGCTGCAGAGCAACCTCACCAAACTTCACTGTGTCTGGAGGGGCAGAGGGGCAAAACTGATGTCTCTGGCCGTCGCGGTCCCCAGAGGCCCAGGTGCTCAGGGCCCACACGACGGCTCCTGGAAGACCTACCTCGGAGCAGCTCCTGCTCCAGCCTCTCTGCTGCCTTCTCTTCCCTTCTCCGCCGGATTCTCTCCAGCCTCCGTTTCTGGAACCTGGGGAAGAAAGCACAATGCCGTTCAGATTCCGCAAGTCTCATCTCACAGGACTCAGAAGGCGGAGGTCACCCCTGCCCAGGAGAGTGCCCCACAGCACAGGCTGGCAGGCTGCCACCAAGTCCCCAGTCTGGTGACTGCCTCCCCCACAACCGTGCATGCAGAACCACAGGGCCCATTGGGTTCCAACGCTGCGTTCTCGGGGGGCGATGGTGCCCCCCGAACACCTCTGACACTCTGGGTTGTCACAACAGCCAGGGGGTGGGTAGGAGTGCTCCTGGCATCTCAGATAGAGGCTAGAGGCCCAGCTGTCGTCCCACATCCTGTGCCGCATGGAATGGCCCTGCCGCTGACAGTCACTGGCCCCACATGTCGACTGGGCCACTGCTTCTGAAGGGCCTCTCAGGGCAGCACTGTGTTTGAGAGACGGCTGTGGCTGTAGCGCGTGCTTCCACTTTTCTGTGACTTGCTTTTTGTCACTTGGCCTAACCACAAGCACAGAGCGCTCAGAGGCGGACAGCACCGTGGGGCTGCTGACCAGCTCCAGCTGAAACTTCTGATGAAAGCTGGGATCCGCTCATCTCAAACACTGCAGCTGTGGCAGAAATGTCTCAAAAAGCCCTTGTTTGTTGAAACCACCTCCCCGCCCCTGCCCACAGGCCCAGGGAGGTGGCACAGGGCTTCCTTCCCAGACTTCTCCAGGGCTGGGGGCAGGGGCGCTACAGCTGGCGGTGGGCTCCTTCCTGGTGCCGGATGCCACCCTCAGGACCCCTGCAAGGACCTCATTAGGCCCCGGCTGGAGATGCCAGTCTCCCCCCTTTACAGATGAGGCCCGGGGCTGAATGGTCGCAGGACTTGGGTGTGTGGCGCAGCTGAAAGCTTCAAACTTCTTTCAGGGCAATGATCCCAGTCCAGGTCCTCAGAGAGGTGGTGGCATCAGCCAGTCAGAAGCGGGGGGAACCCCAGAGCTGTGTGGGATTCCCCAGGGGCCAGCAAGCCCTCCTGAGGGACCACCAGCCTTGTCTTTTTCCCCCTTTCTGTTGCAACTAGCCAGGGTGGACAACAGGCCCTTGACCTCACCTGGCTCTTGGGGCCCCTTGATGCTTTTCCAGAGAAAGGGAAAGACGAAGCTAGGCCTTCACAGTTCCATGGGCTCAGAGACTCCCTGAACCCCAGGGTTGAAAAGCTCTGACGCAGAGAAAAACACTCAGCAACGGACCAAGTTTTCACTTCCATGCTCCCCCTGAATCACGGGGTAGAGGTCCCCCAGCAAGGAAACACTATGGCTGCAGAGAACAGTCACGGGCTGCTACCCCACCCCACTCACGCTTTCTTCCGCTCTGACTTCTCCTTCTTGGGAGCCGCCTGCACCTCGGGCTGTCGCGCCACCTGGTTTTTGCTGAGAAAGAGCACGTGCTGGGCCTCCTGCTCCATTCGCTGGATGTAGGCCCCGTCAGACTCCCACTTCTTCTGCTTGAATTTGGGGACAGCGATGTCTGGCTCCGCCCCTTTTGCTTCCTTCTCCAATGTCTTCCTGAAGGCCACCTGGGCTGAGGACAAAGGGAGAGGTCAGGGGTGTGGCCCCAGGCTGGCCGGGGCCCGGGGCCATAGGGAAGGAAGATCAGACTCAAGTCAGGGCAGCCCAATGACAGCCGCTGAACGTTCACAATGCCCAGCACAGGCACCCGTGTGGGTGGGAGCCCCCCAGCTCACTGCTGCACATCACAGATAACCACCATGGCTCGGCCAAGAAAGAAAATAGAGAAGAATCTAAATGTTATTTAATCGCCCATGGAGGACTGCTGACTAACTACTCTACATCCGTGGGAAGATTTCACGGCGCAAACCCAGGACATTAAGCATGGCACAGAACGAACGTGTAGCGTTCTCATCCTAAGTATGTGAAAATGAACGAGATGTTCCTCTCGGGCAGGCACGGCAGAACATGAAGGCGGAAGAGGAGGATCCAGAGACAGGGAGAGAGGCTATACCGTACCTCGTACCTTCCACCCGTTTGCTTCACCACGTATGTGAGTTTGTCTTAAACATCCAAAAGCAAGAGCCAGCCCAGTAATGCACAGTTCAAACTGGGGCCAGTGCGCACCCTCTCCTCTCACCTTCCCTGCCTCTTTCTGTCGCTAAGTCTTCGGCGGTCGTATAACCCCCAAAGAAAAGCGTGAGGGTTACAAAGAAATTATAAACTGGCATTTGGGAAGACAAATGTATATACACGAAACACCAACATGCTGGACTCCCTTCCCCCAAATGACCCAACTGTTATCTCTGGCACAGGCTGACAGGGGGGCACCCAACCTGGCCTCTGGGTGAGGGGTTGGAAAGGTGAGCTGTTCCAGGGCAGGTGGGGGGAGGGATGTCTGATCAAGTCCCTCCTTAACCTCCAGAAAACATCCCTTCTCTCCCCCAGTTTCTGCACTCCCGTCCAAGAAACGGCCGTTTCTCACTTGCAAGAGCTTCCCTGGCCTGCCCTGTCCGCTCCCTCAAATCGTGACACAGGGATCTTTTCTCAAAGTCAGTCCGAACCCACCATCCCTTCTGATGGAGCTCCATGGCGTGGGAGGGGAACCAACAATGCTCACAGGAGGCCCTGAAACCACACTGCCATCTGCCAGCCCCTCGGTGGCCCTGGGGACACCAGGCTTGGTCAGCACTCCACAGCTCCCGCACCTTCAGACCACGGGGCGCGGGTGGATCGCTGCTGTCCAGAGGCCATTCAACACTTGGGCATCTCAGCGGACTGGGGCGCCCGGAGCTGCGCCGCCTCCCGGACGAGCCTGCGGTTACCTTGTCTCCTCCTCTCTCTGTTACTGACGCGACTTCCCATCTCCTGGCGGCTCCTCATGATCTCTCGCAGCCGGAAGGGGATTTCCTGCTCATCCTGGTTCTGGGGCTTGCAATTCACCTGCTTCTTTTCTTTGCTGGGAGCGAGAACAGGAGGGTGAGACGCGCCCCTGGCTCGGCCGAAGCAGAACCCGAGACACCGCAGCTGGGCCTGGAAAGCGAACCTGGGGGGCCGGCCTGGCTGCCGGGGCCAGGCGAGGGAGCATCCTCCCCGGAGACCGCCCGAGCTGGGCTCTCGCAGGACGGTGGGGTGAGGGTCGCTCCCGGAGCCGCAGGAGGGCAGGGACCGCACCCCGGAAGGGGGCCAGTGCCACGCCGGGGACCCTCGCGCCCCCGCTCACCCGGCGATCCTCCCACGCCGCCATGGCCGGACGGAGCGGGGGGCCAGGTAGGGACGGCGGGAGACCCACCTGCGCGGCCCAGGACACGGCGCTGAGCGCGGCGTCCCCCGCACCTGCTGCTGCCGCCCCCGCGGCCGCCCAGGACCCCCAGGCACCGCCGGCCCCACGGGCACAGCACCGCGGCGCCCGAGTCGCGCCATCCGCACGCCGGGTGCTCCCAGAGTAAGCCACTTCCGCCCTCCCGCACAGTCCCGCCCCACGACCGCCATTTCCGCTTCCTGCGCTCAGCTCTGCGACCATTGGGGCGGTGCTGCTCTCGGGCGAGCCGGGATTGGCCAGAACGGCCGCCCCTCACGCGCTCGGTCGGGGGGGCTCGGGCTGCGGCGCGCTTGCGCCCGGGCCGGGCAGCGGGTGATGCTGCTCCGGAGATTGGTTGCGGGAGGACGGACGGTGGCCGCCGCTACCCGCGGTCCGGCAAGTACCGGCGAGGCGGGCGCCGGGGCGGGGCGCGTTCCGGGGGCGGAGGCCCGGTAGGGACAGAGACTCCGGGCCCGCGCCGCCTGCTGTCGTTCTGTCCCAGCCCCGGCTCCGCGGGCAGCGCCGCCCCGCGCGGGCCGGGCTGTGTCCAGTCCCTCGGGAGAGCCGCAGTGGACGAGGGGCTGGTGCTTCTCGCCGGAGTTGGAGTGAATAAGGAAGGCAGGGCGGGGGCAGTCAGTGTGGAGCGCCCGGGACACCAGCGAGCAGGGGACCGGACGCTGGGGCCGGGGCTGGAGAAGGGGGGAGGCTGCCCTCGCGATCTTTGCGGGGTGCGCTGGAGGAGGACAGGGAAGGAGGGGCGGTGCGCCAGGCAGGATGGTCAGAGGCGAGGCGCGCGGCAGCAGGGGTCGGAGGGAGCCGCCGCTGTGTGACCGCAGCCCGCGAGCTTCCCCCTGCCCCCACTTTTGCCCAAGGAGGAGGGGTGCCAGGGCGCCCCCCACCCCCCATCTGCGGGAGTGCACGCCCAGTGCCTGTCCCTGAACCTAGCATTTCTCCAGGCCTGTGTCCACTTTGCAGACGGGAACCCGAGTCTGCAGATGAAGTAACTCGTCCAAGATCTCCCGGCAGTGAGGAATGGGGGGGGGGGGGCCGCCTGCAGCCCCCGCCAGCGACCCGGGCTGAAATTTCCCTGGAGCTGGGAGCGGGCAGGGCTCACCAGCGTGTGTCTTCTCAGGGTCCATGTCGATTCTCCAGCTGGGACCGGTGCCTAAGGCTTCCTGGAGGCGGCAGCATTCTTAGCAGGCCGCGTGCCTGGGTCCACGTCTGTGAAGGCCACAGAAATTTCCAGAAGGACCCTGCAGAGGAGGGCTCTCAGGCAGGTGCTGAGGGCAGCAGGCCACCCAAGTCGTCCATGCCTGGCAGGGCCGCCCCTGAGCCCCTGTACCCCACACCGCCTGACCTCCAGCCCCCCACAAACTGCTGCATGAGCGGCTGCCCCAGCTGCGTGTGGGTGGAGTACGCGGACGCACTGCTGCGGCACTACCGGGATGGCGGGGAGCGCGCCCTGGCTGCCCTCGAGGAGCACGTGGCCGATGAGAACCTCAAGGCCTTCCTCAGGATGGAGATCCAGCTCCGAGTGAGGGGCGGAGGCTGAGCCCACTGGCCCAGCACCCACACCGGCTCCAGCCTCCTCCTCCCTCCTCCTCAGGAAGCATCACAGAGCTTGACTGGTGTCCCTTCGTGTCAGGCTGGACTAGGAGGAATTACTGATTGACTTGATCTGAGAATAAATAAGCCTTATGTGAGGTTGTCAAAGAAAGGGCGTGCGGCTTGCCTTTGAACTTTCATTGAGAGCCTGCAGATTTGGCCAACTGTGAGGGCTAAGTAAGGTCCATGTCTTTGACGAGCCACGTGATGACCGCCCCCGGAGTCCCCTTCCATGTCCCAGCACCCAGAAGTCCTACCCCAAGGTCTGCTGTGGTTATTCTCAGTGGCAGAGGGAGGACTGTCTGGGCCAATGAAGTTGCTGTTGGCAAAGCCCTTGGCCGGTGTGAACACCTGTCGGCAGCCTGGGAAGGCCCCGTCCTTCCAGCTGCTGGGCTCCCTGGGGAGATGCCCACTCACCAGCCAGCTAGAAGGCTGGTGATCAGCCCTCGGGGGTCTGAGCCTCCAGTCCTTCCAACCCACTTAGACACGATGACCCAGGCAACTGACCTAGGGCCTCCAGCACCAGCCCTAGAATCAGCCTCCCGGCGCTAGCCTGGTCCTCAGCTGCAGACCCGGCTTCGGGACCACTCCGCCCAGACAGTCCTTCCTCTGCCACTGAGAATAACCACAGCGCACCTTGGGGCAGGACTTCTGGGTGCTGGGACATGGAAGGGGACTCCGGGGGCGGTCATCACATGGCTCCGGAAGAACTTTTTCTTAGCGCCCTCACTGCCAATCCCCGTCTCCTGCTCACCCGCATCATGGACATTGTCCCAACTTACCTCCCTCCCCCCAAAATTCCAAGTGCCCATACCAGTAGCCTGGATGGGGAAGGAGTTGAAGGGACTTTGTGTTTTCTCTCTCCTCATTTAAAGAAAACACTAAGATTGCAGGATGAACTCAGGAGGGGTTCGAGCTGATAAACAGGCTTCCCAGGTAGGGGCCTTTAACGTAAAGCTGGCATGTCACATAGAGATGTGTGGGTGAGAACGGAAGCAAAACGCAGGGCCTAGTTAGACACCCGTGGCTCAGGCCATATTTGTGGATGACCGCGTACCTTCCAGGAACAGGGTTTATGGCGCCCCATGCCTAATGGGCTGTATCTCACAGAGCATCTCATTTAACACGGCCTCCTGTAGATTCAAAAACGTCCCAGAAAGAGAAAGCTTTTCTCCAGGGACAACGGCAAAGCTTGGCAGGCTCTGAGGCTCCGTGAAGGGTGGTTTATCACAGAGATGTGGAGGTTTTCCATATTTTTTTCCAAAATGCAGATTTATAGGAGGTTTTCTGTATGTACCTGGGTACACATATGCATACACATCCGAAGGATCCTACTGAGTTAGCGCTACTGCGGAATGACAGAGTCACAGCGAAATCCCGTCCCAGGGCAGCCGCTGGCCTTGCTCCCTCCGGCAAGGCAGGCTTCTCCGCGCAGCCCACGGCAGTCAGGGATGCCCACGCAGCACCAGCCCAGTCACGCGGCTGCAGGTCTTGGCTGCCCATTGGTTTGTTTCATAGGCACTGGCTGGCCATCTGTGACATGTCTGGACCTGGGCTAGAAGCTGCAATCCAGCAGAAACCTCTGCTGTGTTCCACTCCAACATGGAAGATGGAGGTTAACATGAGCATTATTTGGACGCACAACTCTAGGAGCGTGAACGAGTTCTAGCTGCCGTGAGGTTCTGTGAAAGGGCCATCCTGCTCTATCCTGGGGGGTCGCCCTGAGGAAATGACCCTGGGGCAGGGCTCTGAAGTCCTGGGAAGAGGGAGCAGAGCAAGTGAGGAGAGGTGCACCTCACGCCAACAGAGCAGCAGGTGCAAAGATCCTGGGGTGGAAGAAGGGGCCAGGAGCATGGAGAGCGAGGCAGAGGGATGAAAGGTGAGGTCCAAGAGGTAGACAGTGGCCAGACCACATGGGACTTTGGGGGCCATGAAGGTGGATGCTTTAGAGGTCAGAGAACTAAAAGTGGGGAGACCCAGGACTTCAGCCAGGACAATTTCTTCATTGCCAAGACAAGCAGCTTGTCTACCCAGGAGTCCGTGATGGCACGTCCCGTCCCTGTCCCGGTCCCATCCTCAGCCCTTCCCTCATCTCCCTGAGCCCTCAGGGGTGGTGCCCTCCCACCACCCTCACGAGTGGCCCTGCCAATCTCATTAGTGTCATGTTGGGGGTCATCCTAATCCGCTTACCCAGAGGCGGCAGGATAAATGCCCAGCCGGCCCCTTGCTGGGGGATGCCTGGACACTAACACCCACGGCCTCCTGAGACCTGCCCAGAGCTTGGTGAGTCCTGACCTTCCTCAGCCGCTCTCTTGGCGGCCACTTACCCGGGGAGGGGTGGGTGTCTGTGCAGACGGTGGGGAGTTGGTGGGCTTCTCACCGCCGTGCTGATGGCTGGAGCCGCAGGAGTCTGTCTGCTGTCCTAGTCAGAGGGGGTCCCCACCTGGTCACTCTCAGCTCCCCCATATCTCAGGATGGTTGCAGGCAGTCCCCAAGGCCAGCAATGGTCTAGTGGACCCTGGGCCATGCACTCTCAGCCAACTTGAGTGGCCCTTAGCCGGAGGCGGGGCTGTGGCTGGGGCCCCTGGGAGAGCTTGGCCTGTGGTTTCCACGAGGCTATTGTCTGACAAGGAATTCCGTCTGGGTCAGGGCTGTGCACACTGGGCCCATGACCTGGGCAGCCTACACCATCTAAGCTGTGAGGGCGGGCATGATGGGGCCTGGACAGCCAGGACCCAGGCCTGCCGCAGGTCAGCTTGGACCCCGTGTATGTCCTCCTGGGCTGGTGCAGTTTCTGACAAGGGGCATGAGTGTTAGGAAAGATCCGTGGTGGGGTGTGCCTGGTATTGGGTGCCCACCCCCACCACCCAGCCTGCTTCGCCTGCCCGTCGGTCTCAGCCATGAGGCTCTAGCCTGCAGCTGGTGGCAGCCCAAGGCTGGCCTCAGGCACTACAGCCCACAGGACCGGAGTGGCAAAGGGTGCCCACGGGGTGGTGTCGGGATCTCCTGTCTGCATCCTGTGGTTTAACCCCAGAACCTTCTAGACTCACGGTGGTCCGGAGGGATTAGAGTCACCCTCTGGGGCTAATAGGCTTAGGGGAAGCTGGGTTGCCCTTGAGCAGGGTCAGTGGGGCTTAGGACATCTAGGGAGAAGCAGAGAGGGGGTCGCCCTGTGCAGTGGGTTCACGGACACCAGCAGGTGACACTGGTGCCCAGGGCAGCCTCTTAGCACAGTGAGCGGCTGGGGTATTTACCAGCAGAGGGAAGAAACTGCAGGAGGTGGCGGTTGCTCAGCTCAGCTCAGCTCAGCTCGGGACTTCTGAGACAGGGCCCTTCCTGCCGGGCACCTTGCCCTCCATTTCTCTGTCATCCTTCGTTGGCACAGCTAGATGCCTGGCATGCTGCCAAGAGTGAGGCTGACTGTCGCTACCCCCAGGAATTGGGGTGGGGTGTGCAGAAGGGGAGACAGCTGAGCGGGGTGCACCTGGGGTCCTCCTGCCTGACCCCAGGTGGAGCCCCACGTGGAGATGGCGGGGGGCCACCATTGAGGTCGTGCTCAGGACCCCTGGGTTTCCTGTTTCAGGAATTTCTCTGTTCTACTGGATTGAGATCTGCAAGGGAGGCAGAAGCAAGGGGGCTGACCGGGACCCCCCATCTTGGTGTGTCCCCAGCCCACGGCGTGAGGGAGTCTAGAAGGCAGAGTTTGCCGTGGGGTCTCTCCCAGCCTGGCCATGAACCTGGAGCCACCCAAGGCCGAGATCCGCTCGGCCACCAGGGTGACAGGGGGGCCCGTCACTCCCAGAAAAGGGCCCCCCAAATTTAAGCAGCGGCAAACCAGACAATTCAAGAGCAAGCCCCCCAAGAAAGGTGTCCAAGGGTAAGCAGAGCTGGTGGAGGGTGCCCCGCAGGCTACACAGGAAGTGGGGGGCTGACCTCCACACCAGGGGGCTTGGCCACCCTTTCTTAGCCGGGGGCCTGAGGGTCCCCCATTCCTCAGCACGGACGGTGGGAGGGCTCAGGGACTCCTGTCACCCTCTACCTGTTGCTGCCAAACGGACCTGGAGACCACGCCCATGGCCGCTTAGGCCACAGCCACAGCCCTCGCGCCCTTATGTGTCCCTGCACATACACGCGCAGCCAGGACACACTGGCAGACACTCAAGCCCATGTGTGCTCCCACGCACCCCCACTCCCCTCTTCCCGGCCACTGGCCCTGACCACCCTGTCCCGCAGGTTTGGGGACGACATCCCTGGAATGGAAGGTCTGGGAACAGGTATGACGGCCGCCAGGTTCTTCCCGGGTCCCCCCCCCAACTCTCCTCCCTGTCCGTGTGCCTGGGGCCCCATCCTCCCTCCGGTTTTTCCAGTCAGAGCTCACCTAGAGCACCGCCCCAAGCCTGTCCTTTCTCTGCCCCAGCATCGAGCTTTGGGCCTCCCCGAGGTGGGGCTGTTCGCATTCAGTGGGTTTACTGGATACGTGGAGGGGCTGCAAAGTGACAAGGAGGCCTTGCTGACCCCTCTGTCTCCCTGGCGTGCTACACCCACCTTCTAACACTTGACCCCCTCAAGCTGGCATGCCCTGGGGGGGAGGGCTCTCCACCCAGGACTTCCGCTCTCACCACTTGGGGTGCAAACAACAGGGTCTTGGGGGGTGGTAGCCCCTGGGGCCAGGAGCCTCCTGGTGTCGCTGTTCCTTCTCCTGCAGACATCACAGTCATCTGCCCGTGGGAGGCGTTCAACCATCTGGAGCTCCACGAACTGGCCCAGTACGGCATCATCTAGCACCAGGACCTGACCCGGAGCCTCGGGGCCGTCTCCCCTGCTGCCCGCTGCGACCCCTGCTCAGGATTCCTGTGAGGAGCCCCTCCCCCACCAAGGGTGTCCAGATTGCCCGGTTTGTGTCTGGAGATCCCTGCAGGGTGGCAACCTCAGGCCCCCAGATGCCAGTTACCAGAAGTGCACCAGCTCCCTGCCAGACACCTCAGGGCCAGGCAGGCTCTGCTCAGCCTCCAGAAACACTGGCCCACAGATCTTCTCTTAGGGCTGGAAAGCCAGAGCAGGGTCTCCCAGGAATGTTCGTCACAGGCCACTCCTGTCCTGGTGGTTGGTGTTGAGAACAAGCTCCCCTCACTAGCCCTTCCCAGCTGCTGCCCTTGGGTTGGGGATGCCTGGGGGGAGTCCTGGCGGTGCCTGATCAACACGCCTCCAAACCCCTCACCGGCAGGAAACGTCCTACCCAACGTAGCCCGCGCATGCTGTCCTGGTTTCAAAATAAAATTCGCATGCCCCCGTTCACTCGGCTGGAGTGGGGGGGGGGCGGACACAGTCGGAGGGCGAGGGTCTGGAGTGGGTGGTGGGTGAGGGCGTGGTCCGAGGGCGAGGGTCTCCAGCAGGGGCGGAAGGACGAAGGTGCAGGGTGGTGGGGGCAGCAGGGGCCTGGCCAGGCTGAGAGGGAAAGAAACCCACTACACACTGAGTCTGGGCCCATGGAGGCTGGGGGTCCATGCAGCCCGGCCAGCCAGGCTGGGAGGCAGCCGCGTGCACGGCCAGCCCCCGGAGCAGGCCTCACCAAGGAGGCAGATGAGGCCCAGCAACAGCTCATGCCAAAAGGGTGTGCTCAGCTCAGCCTCATGGGAGGAAACAGGTGCAGAGAGATCAGGGAATTCGCTTAGTGGCCCAGCCAGCCTGTCCTTAGCTGTCCACTACCGCTGGCCAGGTGCCCACTGGTGACCCAGCACTTCCACGCTGGACGCCACACCCGGGGGGCCTGGTGAAACGGTCGCTAGCAGCAGTCGCTGTCTGGGATCCTGCCAAGGGTGTCCGCGGGGACCAGGTGCCTCTGTGGTGCCTGTTCACATGGCAGCGACCCGACAGATTCCCGGGTAGGGCCCTCTGGGATCCCATTCATGTGGAAGCCAGAAAAAGCCATGGTAACCCGAGGCAATGAAGGCCACTCAGGGTGCCCGTGGGCAGGGGGCGAAGCAGCCGCGGCCGGCTCCTTGCCTGGCCAGGGGTCCATGTGGGTGCGCAGAGGGAAGGCTTCCTCAGGCTGCCCACTGAGACGGGTGCCATTTGCCGTAAATGATACAGCTCTCCAAAATTTATTCCCGTCAGGGCCTCGCCATTGGCCACCACAGTGGACGGAGAGGGCTGGGCAGCGGGAAGGGAGTGGGGCGGGGGGGGCGACGGTCAGGGGTGTGAGTTGGAGTTGGGGGTTCGACAGCAGGCTTGCATCCAGCCCCGAGAGCCCTGTATGCTCTGGGCAGCCGTGGCATCCCCTGTAGGAGGCGGGCGCTGGCAAGGGGCGGCTCACGCAGGCCACGCGGGGTTGGCAAGTGCTCCCTGGTCGAGAGCAAAAGTCTCCGAGAGAGTGAGGTCAGGTGGCGGTGCAGGGACTCGTTCTCGCGGGCCCAAACAGAACTGGGAAGGAGGTGGACATGCCCTACCCTCCGGGAAAGGGACCCCTGGGGGGCGGGAGACCCAGCAGGGTGAGGAGGCCAGAGTGTCTGAGATGCAGGACGCTTGCTCAGACACCTTCCCTGGGGATCCCACGGGGCTGTCAGCCCTGGGCCAGTTTGGCAGGGGGCCTTTCTGTCCCGGCGGTTCTGAGGCTCCCTGCCACCCCCTGGCGGACAGCCAGGGCCCTCGCCAGCCGGGCCGCCAACAGAAGCTCCAGGCCCTGGACGACCACAGTGGCAACGGCCCAAGCCCCCGCAGCCTGGACGTTCCCACGCAGCCACCCTCGGAGTGCAAGGCCACAGCCCTCCAGGTGCACCCGCCTCTGAACGGCTTCATCCGGGCCCAGAGCTCCGAAGCTGCACGGGTCGTGGCCAGCTGCTCCATCTCCCCTGGGGCTGACACAGCAAGAGGCAGGGAGGCCGCAAGCCTGGGTCCCCGCGGAGCTGCAGTTAAAGGACCTGCAAGGGAACATGTGGCATTGGTCTGGAGGGCAGGGCCCACCGTTCCGGGCCCCGGCGCTGAGGAAAGGTCTCTTACCGACCCTCCCAACGTCCACGGCCACACACACGCACACACACGCACACACAACAGCCAGCTTCCGGTGATCCAGCGGAAATCACCAGTCCAAAGTCACACTCAGCCCACAAACAAGAGCACCCATGTGGATGCTTCTAGAACGCTGGCATGTTTCAGTGACTGCTGGGTGCAAGAGGCCGGTTTTCAAGTCTCTGCGCGACCATCTGTCGTGGTCAGTTGTCCTCCAGCAGAACGTAGACGATCCCTGCCCAGTGTCCCTAAATAGACAACACTTACACACACACACACACAAGTGCACACACATGCGGACACACACAGACACACTCAGAGACACAGACACACGCACACACACATGCAGACAAGCACACGGACACTCACAGACGCATGTTGACACACATGCACGCATATGCACACACATGTGGACACACGCACACAGACACGCAGAGACACAGACACACACACATGCAGACAAACATGCCCGCAGACACACGCACACACACATGTGGACACACGCACGCACACGCAGACACACACATGGACACGCACACAGACACACATAGACACACATGTGGAGACACACACGGACACGCACGCAGACACACATGCGTGCACACATGCACACAGACACACGTGGACACACACACAGACACGCACACACAGACACACGTGTGCACACATGCAGACACACGCACACAGACAGACACATACATGCAAACAAACACGCACACAGACATACACGTATACAGACACAAACGTGGACATACATGTGCACACACATGCAGACACACTCGCGGACATACACAAAATGCGCATACGTGCACACAAAGACACACGCAGACACACAAGCATGCACACGCACACACAGGCACACACAGATACATTCACATATAGGCACGCACCGACAGACACACGAGAGCACACGTACAGACACACACGCAGACACACACGCAGATGCACGCAGACAAGCACACGCACACGCACGCACGCACACAGAATAGACACACGCGCGCGCGCGCACACACAAGCAAGCACGCACGTGTGCACACAGAGACGCTTACACACACGCTGTGGAGGGAGAACTGTGGAGTCCAGAACAATGTCCCCATTTAACTTAAGTGCATCTGACGTTGAGACATGCGGTGTGACGACCTTTCCCAAAACACTCCCCGAGCTATCTCTAGGTCTGCCGGCTCAGCTTCTCCACGATGATCCCTGCCCACCTTTCCCTGGCTGGAGGGGGCAGAAACACGCGGGGGGCTCGTGTGTGTGCACGGGCATGTGTGCACACACTCGTGTGTGTGTACAAGTGAGCACGTGTGCGAGTATGTCCGTGCGGTCCAGTCAGATGGCCGCTGGGGACGCCCCCCTGCCCCGTGGGCTCTGGGACTCACGGGTTCCGTGTCCAGTCCCGGTAGGAAGACACCCCACAGCACTGCAGCCCCAGCTGGACCTGGTCAATGAGGAAGCGCAGGTCCGCATCGTCCTGATAGTGGGTGATGGCCGCACGCAGCGTGGGCTCCAGCCCATCCTGCAGTGGGCCCCAGAGGGCCACCAGCAGGGACCCCACCACCGCCTCCAGCGCCAGGAAGGCGATGAGACCCCCGGAGAAGCAGCGCAGCAGGCAAGCGTTCTCGCAGAGGGCGCCCAGGCAGCCCGCCAGGCTCACGGCACTGACCGCCAGCCCCCCCAGCGCCAGTCCCAGCAAGGGGTCTTCGGGCAGGGCCGCTCCCCCACTCCCCCGCAGAGACCCCTTGACAGCCAAGCCCCAGAGCCCGAAGGCCAGAGCCAGCACACCGAGCAGAGAGAAGAGAAAGTTGAACAGGAAGATAAGGTATTTCAGGCAGCTGCTTCCCAAGGGGAGAGAGGAGGCTGGGTATCCCCCAAGGCCTGCCCTCCAGACCTGGTGCTCTTGGGGTGCCTGGCGGCTTGTGGTGAGTGGGCTGCTTGCTGGGAGGGGCTCCTCCTGGCCCCCGGCGCCCTGTGGAGGAAGGAGGAGCACACGGGGAGACCTCTGCGGCAGGATGGGATCATCAACAGGGAGGGTCACCTCTTCGAGGCTGGGGTCAGAGCCTGGCAGCGGGGAAGAGGCTGGACGGTGGACGGAGAAGGGAAGGCTCGCAGACCCGAGATGGCTGGGGACGGACACGGCGGCCTCCAGGCTTGTCTCCCGGCAGGGCAGTCGGGGGATGGGAAGGCCTGTCTCCCGCAGAATGGAGGGCTGCACCCCGCTAGCTCGCGGTAGAGATTAAGTGAGGCAATCTCGGGAAGCAGGCGTTCCAGGAACACACGAGCGTCCTCGATCCCCTCTGTGTGAGGGAGGACGTGGACCCCGCAGCTCAGGCACGTGGCAGGCGGTCTGAACAGCATCTGCGTGGGTTGGGCTGTCTATGCAGTCCAGAGAAGGGCTCCCCCCCCACCGGGCCCAGGAGGTGGAGGCCCCCCGGGCAGAAGGGCTGGCCCAGGGGACTGTCCTTTCTTCTTCCCCGACTCACACCAGCCTAGCATCACAGAACCCCACTCTCTGAGCACAGACTTGGGGCCAGGCCAGCCAGGCTCCCAGGGCAGGGACAAGGACGGCCAGGAGACCAGGGCTCTGTGGGAGTCGGGGCCTCCCTTGCCTTGCCCTCCAGCAGGACGCTCAGCCACGCCCTGGGCACTGGTCACACCAAGTGTGGGAAGTAAAGAAGTGCTGACCCATCCCCCCACTTCCCAGAGGAGTGGCTCGTGCATCAGAGGTTTGGAGAAGCTGCTGACTGTGCCCCACTTTGTCCCTTCAGGGACAATCTCCATTTCAGATCTGCCGGCCCACACCCCCCACCTTCTCCACCTGTAGGCAGATGTGGGACGCACTTCTGTTTGCTCTCTGCTGGAGGGAAAGGGACCGTCTGCCCTTGAAATCTGGGAGGATTAGGAAGCTGTGGCCCCACCTAGGCAGGGCCTCCCTTCCAAACCAGTGGGTAGAGCCCTCTACCAGAAGAGGCTGCCCTCTGCTCCCCACATCCGATTCTGCCTTGAAACCTCATTCACTGTGAACTTGGAGGGGAGGAAAGGGGCATTGATCAGCCCCCCAGACCCCAACAGTCAGTGGGAGCAAAAGGACAGGCTGCTGGGCCAGGCTGGGGTGTGCGGGGGCTGGGTCCGCCAGAGGCGGTGGGCAGGTGCCACAAGGTTATGGCACTGCCAGATGCCCGGAGGGGTGTCGGGATGGCCCCTCCCAAGCCCGAGCTCACTGTCTTGCTTCCAGAACGGCAGGCCGCAGTGGGGAAGGGGCGAACCAGCAAGAAGGCGGAGAGGTCACGGGCGGAGGGGGGGGCAGGAGAGGCACTGAAGGCCCCGTGGGCACATCACCTGGGTGTGTGCTTTTCTCAGAGTGTGCGTACCCCAAGCCCCCTCACACACACAAGGGGAAAGAGTTGTGGCAAGGTGCTGGGTGAGGATAAAGCTCGGGATTAGTGAGACCCCCCTCCCACCCTAATTTTACCTCCTTGGGGGGCGGGGGGGCACCGACCGGCCAGCCCAGCACAGGCCAAGGCTCAGGGTGGAGCTTGGGGCCAGGGTGGGTGAGAACCTGCCTGAGGTCCTCCCCAGGGCCTTCAGGGTGGAGACATTGCCAGTGGAGGGGTCGGGGGCGGTGGAGGCCACCAGGGCACTGGCTTACCTGGGACAGCAGGGGGCGCCTTTCCCCCTCCTCCATTCTGCACCTGGACAGGTGTGCTGGTCCCCGGCCAGGCGTCTCTAGCTCGGACACTGGAGTGCCCTCAGCCGTCCCGCGAGCTCTGCAGCCCAGGGCCGGGTGAGCTGCGAGCCGAGCCAGGATGCTACAGTCATGACCAGGTCATGTGAGGCGTCACACTGTAGGGCTTAAGACCGCCCCTGCCTGTGGAGACCCAGAGCACCCCCCCAAGGGCAGAGTCGCAGCCTCTCTGGGGGATTCCCTGGAGTTTTGGGCAGGCGTGACGTGGCGGGGCTGTCCTCCCAACCCCATGGCCACCACGACAGGGGTGCCCTGTGGGCCTCGGTCTGGTGGGCCTGGCGGCTGCTCCCCCAGCTCTCCCAGGACAGGAGAGCCCTAAGAACTGGCTCAGGGAAACGATCCTGGGAGACGGGCCAGACCTGTCGGGTCACCCCCAATTTAGTCTCTGTGAGAACGAGACAGTCTCCACTGGCCAGATCACATCTTCCTGGTTTTGAGGGACGCGGGCTCTTTCGTGGTCATGAGCTTCTCCTGTCAGGGCTGGCCTCTGTCACAGTCAGCGTTGTGCCCAGAGCTTGGAAGGCCCCGGGCCACGCAGCTGCCCCGCACACTGGGGCGCCCGAGGCCCTCTGACCCTGTCCTGTCCTCTATCCTCGGCTTGCGTGGCGTGGGGAGGAAGGCTCGGAGCGGTTCCCCACCCACTGCCAAGGCTCTGAGGACGCGGGCACATGGCTCTCCACGCCTCCCCTGTGCCTTTGTGACGCGGGAGGTCACAAAATGAATGTCAGTCTCTGGCTTGTGGGGACCTCTAGAGGACCTCTGCACATGTGTTTGCCCGGTAGGAGAAGGGGGGGCCTCCTGGGCAAGGCCCTGTGCCCAGCCTGTCTTCACCGTCCTCTGCCCTGCTGCTCCCTGGCTTCTTTGGTTTGGTGTTGGGAGTGCAGCCACCCTTCCTCACTTTACCCACCTGTCTGCAGTCCGGCCACACGGGGTGCTTGCCGGCGACGAACGGCCCAGCACACGTGTGTCCTCCGCCTTTGCTGCCCCTGAAATCTCCCTGGGTCTAGCTCCGGACCACACCCCACCCTGCAGGCAGAGCCCTCCCCTCTTCTTTCGGGACACTATCCACTTCGTTTTGTAGTTATTGGCAGTCTTGCTTCATGCCCCACCCCCCAGCTTCCCGCACGACAATGCCCCAATAGAGCCCCGTCCCCGTTCCTGACTTGCAGGACCAGAAGGATGGTAAATGGCTGTTGGGTGAAGCCACTGCATTTCGGGAGAGTTCATTTCACAGCATCATCGTGACAACAGATTTACAATAGAGACACAGTTGTGCCACAGAGAGCTGGGACAGCAGGCCACTGATCGAAGTCAGGGAGCGTCCTGCGTCCTGGGGATGCGGCCGCGGAAAAACCTGCAACGCCCTAGTGAGCACGAGCTCACCTCCGGTGGAGGGGACGTCACAAAGCAAGGGGGTAAACAGGTGAACATATGTGATTCTTTTTTTTTTTTTTTTTTGACAGAGAGAGACACAGTGAGAGAGGGAACACAAGCAGGAGGAGTGGGGGAGGGAGAAGCCGAGCAGGGAGCCCGAGACAGGGCTCGATCCCCGGACTCCCGGATCATGACCTGAGCCCAAGGCAGAGGCTTGACGACTGAGCCCCGCAGGCGCCCCGAATATATGTGATTCTACACGGTTGTCAGAAGTGTGAAGCCATGAAAGGAGGGTGAAGAGTCAGGGGCTGTCTCTCATGTCAGTTGATCAGCGAGGGCCTCACTGTACCCCAAAGAACTGAAAACAGAGACTGACACAAGTACACAGACACGCATATTCACGGCAGCGCTATCCACAGTTGCCGAAAGGTGGAAACAACCCCGACAGCAATCAACGAAGAGTGGATTATCAAAATGTGCTCCAGGCACCCCGTGGACTACTACTCGGCCATAAAGAGGGGTTCTGACACCTGCGACGACAGGGACGGAGCTGGAAAACGCTCAACGAAAGAAGCCAGACGCTCAAGCTCAAGTCCGCGTCCCTGTCATTCCATTCACATGAAATATTCAGAATAGGTGAGTCTGTAGATGGGTGGTTGCCGGGGGCTGGGGGAGGGGAATGGGGGGCTGCTGCTGAACGGGGGTGCGGTTTCCTTCTGGGGGTGACGGAAATGCTTGGAAAGTAGATACAGGAGGTAGTCGTAGGTCTTGAGAGCACTAAATGCCACCGAACTGTTCACTGAGAAATGGTTGACTGCGTGCCGCGTGAATTTCATCTCAATTTAAAAAAAAGAGGAAGAGGAGAAATGTGGGGGGAGGGAGGGATGGAGCCAGGTGGGTCCACTGGGGTGGGGAGAGGGGGTGGGGTGGAGCAGGATCAGGACCCTGAGAAGGGAGTGCTCAGGCTGCTGGGTGGGGGCTGCAGTCAGGGCAGAGAAGAAGGCTGCAGATTTGACGAGGCGCAGCCAAGCCTTCTCTCCTCTCTTCTTCGAAGTGACAAACCAGGACCCCCTCCAGCTGCATCCAGTTGCTGCATCCAGCTCCAAGGCCAGGTTCTCATCGTGACAATCACCTCTCCAGCTCTGTCTCCCTCTTGTCCTGACACTGGGCAATGCTAAGTGAAATTACAGTGACCATCACAGCGGGGGGCTGAATTGCGTTTCCCCCAAATCCATATGTTGGGGTCCCAACCCCCAGAACCTCAGAAGAGGACTTGGAGGGATGGCCCTTAAAGAGGTAATCAACTTAAAATGAGGAGGCCAGTGTCTTCATACAGAGAGGAAATTGGGGCACACAGAGACACCAGGGATGCCTGAGCACAGAGGAAAGATACAGAGGTCTGCCAGCCAAGGAGAGCGGCCTCAGAAGACCCCGACGGGCTGTCACCTTGATCTCCGACTTCCAGACTCTGGATCCAGGAGAAAATACCTTTAAGTTATACAGTCTGTGGAATTTTGCTAAGGCAATCCTTGCAAAGTGATATGACTACTGGTAGAGCCTTTTTAATTTAATTTAATTTTTTAAAAAAGATTTTATTTATTTGACACAGAGAGAGATCACAAGTAGGCAGAGAGGCAGGCGGGTGGGGGGGGAGCAGACTCCCTGCTGAGCAGGGAGCCCAATGTGGGGCTCCATCCCAGGACCTTGGGCTCATGATCTGAGCCGAAGGCAGTCACTTCACTGGCTGAGTCCCCCAGGCATCAGGAGAGGAGGCCTTCTTTGCTCTCGTCCTTCAAAGGCTTTCTAACCGAACACACTTAAGAATAGAATCCGGGTGCCTGGGTCCTGGGATCCAGCCCTGCATCGGGCTCCCTGCTCAGTGGGGAGCCTGCTTCTCCCTCTCATAATCCCCTTGCTTGTGCTCCCTCTTTCACTTTGTCTCTCTCTGATGAATAAATAAATAAAATATTTTTAAAAAGAATAGAATCTAAAGGCCTTTCCATGTCTCACATGGTTCTTCCTGACCCAGCCCTCCTCTGCCCTCACTCAGGACCCCCATCCACGCCAGCTGCCTTGTTGTTCCTGGAGCACCCAGCACTTCCCAGGTCCCAGGACCTTTGCACAGGCTTTCCTAGTTCACTCTTCCCTCAGATGCTTTATCTGGGATCTGATCACATCCCGTCTCCTCAGAGCGGTCTTTCTGGACCATCATATGTAAAATAGCCTCAATCACCCTCCATCCCTTTCCCTGCTGTGGCTGTGGCTGTCCACTATGGGACACTGCGTCCCTGCATAGCTGATGTGTTTGCAAGCTGCCTCCTGCTGGTGGATCCCATCAGGGTGGGAATCTCTCCTGTTTCTGCTCTACTCCCAGCGTGGGCCCCGCCGCTCTCCGGGCAGAAGCCTCGTAGGTCCTTGCGGGGGGCCGGGGGGGCGCGGGGGGGGGGGGGGGGGGGGGAGGGGATGGACCGGCAGGTGGACTAGCTGCTGAACCTGAGGTGTTGGAACCCGGGAAGCTGAGGGGTCGGAAGGGGGAGGAAACGAGGGTGACTTTTTCAGTCGAGGAGATACATAAATACAACCGGGAGTGGAGCCACGGGGTTAAAAAAAACGGATTTTACACGTTTTGGTAACTTTCCCCCCACAGTCACGGGCAAGGTCAGGTCCGCTACAGGATTTGCGGGGCCCGGTGCAGCACGAGGACGGGGAGCTCCCCGCTGGAAACCAGCAGGAATTGCGAGAGGCCGACAGCTGAGCCCTGCACCCAGCCCTGCACCCAGCCCTGCATCCGGGCCGCGGCGGGGGGCGGGCCTCGGGGGATGCAGTCTAAGTTCGGTTGTTTGCCTCGCGTTAGGTTCGCGGAGACGCTGCTTTCCTTTTCCTGCCAGGACGGTGTGACGTCACCGTCCTGACACGATCCGTCCACGCGCAGGCGACCCGCCGGACCCAGGACTTCGAGGCCCCGCACTATGGCCCAGCACGACGATTTCGGGGCGACGGCGCACGCTCGCTTTTGCTTCTTCTCGGACCTTCCTGCCCTGCCTGGGTTTGCAGAAAGGAGCGCGCGCCACCAGCAAAGTCGTCCTTCCCGGAGCTCAGGGCCCCGCGCGCGCCCCCGTCGCCCCGCGCGCGCGCCCCGCCCCTGGCCCGCGGCCGCCCCGCTTGCGCATGCGCGGGCCGTTGGAGGGCCGGAACTCGGTTTCCGGGCTGCGCGGCCGGCGGAGCGCGTTGGACGAGGTGCCGGACGTCGCGCGGCGGTGGCGGCCGGCGGCGAAGCTGGAGCGGCGGTGGCGGCGGCGGCGGGAGGCCGGGGCTGAGGCCGGGGCCGAGGCTTCGAGGCCCGCGGGGCGGCAGGCGGCGGCGGCGGCGGCCCGGGGCTCGAGCCCGGAGACGGGAGCGGCCGCCATGGCCGAGAGCATCGTGAGTGGGGCGGGGCGGAGCGGGGCGCCGGGATGAGGCAGCAGATTTACCGGCGCGGCCTGTGGGGCGGCGGCCGGCACCCGGCCGCTCCCGCCTCCCGGCCCGGGCTCGCGGCCTCCGGTCCCGCCGCTCCGCGACCGCCGGCTCCGCGCGCTCCGCCGGCCCGGTGCGGGGCCGTGTGCGGGGCGGCCGGGCCGGGTGCGGGGCCGTGTGCGGGGCGGCCGTCGGAAGCGGGGCGCGCCCCAGCCTGGGCTCGAGGCCCCGCGGGGAGGGCGCTGCGGCCGCGGGGGCTGCGAGGACGGGACCCCGGCGGCGGCTGCTGTCGGTCTGGGCGCGCTGGGACGCGGTGACAGCCACCTGTTGGGGAAGGAGGGCGCTTCCGTGCTCTCGGGAGTTGCCTGTGCCCTCGCCCCGTCGCCCTCGTCCCGTCCCCCTCGCAGTTAAGGAAGCCGGCGAAAGTGAGAAAAATAAACCCGGAGCCCAAACCGCCCTGGGTTTCCGGCCCCGGGTTCTCCCAAGGCGTGAGTCTGGGACGCGGTCCGCAGGGCCCGGCGGCGCGGCCTGGGTGAACGTTAAGGCATAGTGGGGCTCCCGGGGAAGGCAGAGCCGCACTGGGGAGCGGGTCACACTCACGCGTTCCCGGCCGGTGGCGTCTGCGTTTTGCTGGGCGCGGCCTCGGGCTCTGCTCTGGGCGGCCCGGGTCTGCGGCAGGAGCTGGAGGCGAAGGCTTCCCTCCTCCTCCTCCTGTCTCTCCGGGCCTGGGGACCAGCCGAGGGAGTAAGCGGCCCGAGGGCAGCAAGATCGTGGCTCCCCTCGAGTGGGACTGCCTGACGCGCTGCCCTCCAGAAAAGGAGCAGAGCCGGAGCTCAGGGAGTCCGCTTGCGGGGGGCTCGCTCGGGTGCCGCGGGCGCGCGCGCCGTCCAGGAAAGGCCGCGCTCCAGCCGGTGTGTCGGTCTCCGGTCTCGCCACGACGTACTCCGGGCTCCTTTCGTACAGACGGTGAAAACGCGCGCAGCCAGGAGGCTGGGTGTCTGCGACGCCGGGGCTGCCTCTTCTGCACCGCTGGATCTCGCAGCCTGCGGCGGACTCCAAGCGAGAACTTCCTCCGCTCACGGGCCCGAGTCTGCGGGAGTCCGAGCCCGGCTTCGCGGCGAGGCCGCTGCAGGTGGCCGGAGAGGACGGCTTGTCGACATGCAGAGCCCTGCAGAGACGGGCGGGACCCTGAGCTGCTCAGTGCCTGCAGTGTCCTGCCCTCGTTCCCACGTGCACAGAGGGACGGTCACAGAGTCTCCCACAGAGAAACCAAGGTCTTAACGGGCCGCAGTGTGGGACAGATGTCGCGAAAGAAGGGCAGCAGCGGGCTGGTGCCGTGCTGCGTATTCTGAAGACGCGTTTCTAGGCGTTTAATAGAGCGACGTCGGAAGAGTTTGGATTTGCAGTCCGCGCCGATGACCGAGAGAGGAGCAGAAAGATAGAAGATACTTTATGCCTCAACAGTGGGATTTCGGGGCGCTTGGGCGGCTCAGTCCTTAAGGCTCTGCTTTCAGCTCAGGGTGTGATCTCAGAGTCCTGAGATCTAGTCCCGCATGGGGCTCCTGCTCAGCGGGAAGCCTGCTTCTCCCTCTCCCACTCCCCCTGCTTGTGTTCCCTCTCTCCCTGTGTCCCTCTGTGTCAAATAAATAAAATCTTAAAAAAAAAAAAATTGGGATTTCATAAGGATTATCCAAGACAACCTTGAAAATTGAGAACAGTATCAGGGTAAAGCCTTCTCAGTAAAGTGAAAGTAGAAAATGAGAAAATCAAACTATTTTAGGAAAATCTAGATTAATCTTACTTTGTTTGATAAAAGTGGACAGTTGATCAAAGCCATTGTGGCATTTTATCCTGTTTCAGTGAAATCTTTTTTTAAAATTTATTTTATTTTATTTAAAGATTTTATTTATTTATTTGACAGAGAGAGCACAAGTAGGCAGAGAGGCAGGCAGGGGGGAGGGGGAAGCAGGCTCCCTGCCAAGCAGAGAGCCAGATGTGGGGCTTGATCCCAGGACCCTGGGATCATGACCTGAGCCGGAGGCAGAGGCTTAACCCACTGAGACACCCAGGTGTCCCAAATCTTTTTTTTATATTGAAACTTTTTTTTAAGATTTTATTTTTATGTCTTCTCTACATTCAACGTGGGGCTTGAACCCACAACACAAAATCAAGAGTTGCAGTCCTCCCTGACTGAGCCGCCCGGGCACCCCAGTGAAAATTTATTTATTTATTTATTTGACAGAGAGAGAGAGAGAGAGAGACAGGGACAGCGAGAGAGGGAACACAAGCAGGGGAAGCGGGAGAGGGAGAAACAGGCTTCCTGTGGAGCAGGGAGTCCGATGTGGGACTTGATCCCAGAACCTTGAGATCGTGACCTGAGCTGAAGGTAGACACTTAACGACTAAGCCACCCAGGTGCCCTGAAAATCTTTTTTTTTTTTTTTTTTTAAAGACTTTATTTATTTGACACAGATAGAGGGACCGCGAGAGAGGGAATACAAGCAGGGAAAGTGGGACAGGGAGAAGCAAACTTACCACTGAGCAGGGGACCTAATGCAGGGCTCGATCGAAGGACCCCAGGATCACAACCTGAGCCACAGGCAGATGCCCAACCGACTGAGCCACACAGTTGCCCTGAAAAATCTTTTTTTTTTTTTTTTAATATTTATTTATTTGACAGAGATCACAAGTAGGCAGAGGCAGGCAGAGAGAGAGAGGAGGAAGCAGGCTCCCCGATGAGCAGAGAGCCCGATGTGGGGCTCCATCCCAGGACCCTGGGATCATGACCTGAGCTGAAGGCAGAGGCTTTAACCTGCTGAGCTGCCCAGGCGCCCCTGAAAATCTTTTAAAAAACAATGGCTTAAGACATTTTTCATATGTAAAGGGTATTTGGGTTTTTTTTTTAAGTGTTTGTTTTCAGTGCAGTAATGGCTGAGCCGCCCTGTGCACTTGGTGGTGTGTTCCTGACTCTCTTTCTTCCCCTCAGGTGGTTGGAGCATCGTCTGCCCTGTTTTTGGCAGGGCATGCCTTTTCACGCTCCCTGATGAAAGCAGGAACTTGTGCAGTTGGCCAGCGTAACTCACCCACCTTCAGAAGGACTTTGATCTGTATAAAAATCAAGTCCTAGAAGGTGGTGCTCTGTGTGCAGTGTTCCAGGCCTGCCAGCCATTTCAGGGTTGCTATAAAAGTATTTTTTTAAAACCCTGGTATGTTTACCATGATGTTAAATACCTTTTTTCTTTCAGTTTTTCTAGTAAAGGTAAATAACAAATTTATGATGCTTTTAGATCATTCTGATCTTTGCATATAGATTTTAGAACAAAACTCATTTTGTTCTCTTTTTTATTTTTTATTTTTATTTTTTTAGTCAGATGTGTTTTAAATTTTTTACTTATTTTTTAACTTGTCTCTACCCCCAATGTGGGACTCGAAGTCAAAACCCCAAGATCCAGAGTTGGATGCTTCACCGACTGAGCAAGCCAGGAGCCCCCAAAGAGATCTTTTTTAACGAACCCAGTCATTCATGATCCATGAAGGATTTTTTTTGTTGCTGGTTTTTTTTTTGCTGTTGTATTGTTGTTTCTTTAATCCAAAGAGAAATAATGGTTAAACATTTTTCTGAGTGAAATGACCAGAGTTGAGAGTCAGGGCCGTCCTGTCAGGGCGTCCTTGCATGAGCTGAAGAATCTGCCTGTGCTGCTCTTCTCGAAGCGCCTGGTGTTGCTCGGGGAAGGGAGACGTTTGGCTCTAAGTTTCGGTGGCCCAGATGCTGAAAGACGCAGGTGTTAGTCTCCGTCAGATCAGGAACTTACTAGTCTGTGCAGTAACCGCCTTGTTTCATTTGCGACAGATAATTCGTGTCCAGTCCCCGGACGGGGTGAAGCGGATCACAGCCACCAAGAGAGAGACAGCGGCAGCATTTTTGAAAAAGGTAAGCGGTGGCCTGGGTATTTGCGCTTCCATCCTCCCCTGCTGCTCCCTCCCTATCTGTACCCGGCCCTGACTCTGCCCCTCCCGGCCCTGACTCTGCCCCTCCCGGTTGCCCGTCTCTCTGACTCGCTTCTGCCCCACAACTGGATTGCTCCAGGGCACACTGCATCACTGACCACGGCTTACTGCCACGGTGGCCGGGAAGAGCCCAAGGGTGCGTGTAAAAGTATTCCACAAGACTAGTACTTCGGAGAGTGAAGAATTGGAAAGATTGGAGGGTGAAAGACTTGAATTGTCTGTTAAAGGAAAACTTAAAAACATGTACAGAATAATTCCCACTTTTTTTTTTTTTTTAATTTAAAGATTTTACCTATTCATTTGAGAGACAGACAGAGAGAGCAGGTGAGCAGGGGAGAGAGGCGGAGGCAGAGGGAGAAGCAGACTGCAGACTCCTCGCTGAGCTGAAGGCAGACACCTAACCCTCTGAGCCACCCATGCGCCCCAGTCCCACTTTATTAGAAAATCAGAGGCACAGGGGGCGCCTGGGTGCCTCAGTTAGTTACGTGTCTGACTCTTGATCTCAGCTCAGGTCATGATCTCAGGGTCCAGGCATCGAGCCCCACTTCAGGCTCCCTGGTTCGCACAGAGTCTGCTTCTCTCCTTTTTCCTCTTTCTCTCTCTCAAATAAATAAATAAAAGAAAGTGAGAGCCACGTACATAGACCAGTTATGCGTTTATAGAATGCAAATGTGGAAGCACCGCCAGACTTCAAGAGGGTAACCCTGGGAGGAGAGGCCTGCGGTAAGGGGTGGCTTGTGGTTGATGCTTCACGGCAGGCGTGAGCAGACTGTGGCCCATGGGACGACCTCCTGTTCTCCTTCCCCTTGGTGTGCAGATTTCCTTTCCCTGACTTCCTTTTTTTTAAAGATTTTATTTATTTACTTAGTCACAGGAGCAGGGGGAGGGGCAGAGGGAGAGAGGGGGGAGAACGAGTCTCCAGCAGACTCTGAGTTAAGCGTGGAGCCCATGTGGGGCTCAGTCCCTTGACCCTGAGATCATGACCTGAGCTGAAACCAAGAGTTGGTTGCTTAACTGACTCAGCCACTCAGGTGCCCCTGTTACTGTAAATAAAGTTTTTTTTTTTTTAATTATTAAATTTTATTTATTTTTTTAAAGAATTTTATTTATTTATTTGACAGAGAGATCACAAGCAGGCAGAGAGGCAGGCAGAGAGAGAAGAGGAAGGAGGCTCCCTGCTGAGCAGAGAGCCCGAGGCAGGGCTCGATCCCAGGACCCCGGGATCATGACCTGAGCCGAAGGCAGAGGCTTAACCCACTGAGCCACCCAAGCGCCCTTGGTTTTTTTTTTTTTTTTTTTTTTTAAGATTTTATTTATTTGATAGAGATCACAGGTAGGCAGAGAGGCAGGCAGAGAGATGGTGGGAAGCAGGCTCCCTGCTGAGCAGAGAGCCTGATGCGGGGCTTGATCCCAGGACCCTGGGATCATGACCTGAGCCGAAGGCAGAGCCTTAACCCTCTGAGGCACCTGGGTGCCCCTGACAGGGAAATTTCTTAAACTTAAATTTGTAATGACCATGTAGGAATATGATTTTGTTTTTAACTTGAGGCGTTTGTGCTTGATACCAAATGTAGAGTTGTCAAACAGGTTAAATTCAGAAGGTTTCCGAGATAACAGCGTGACCTTGTAGTTCTCACTTTTATTTGCACCAGTAGCATTCCTAACATGCTTGTATTTCCTCCCGGACAGTTCATGGCTGCCTCGTCCAGGGAGACACAGAGTGACAGGCAGTCACTGGGAGGGTTGAGGTTGGGGGTTTAGTTTGTTTTGTTTTTTAAATAAGTCTTTTTTTTTTTTTTTTTTTTGATTTTTTGATTTTTTTTTTTTTTATTTTTTTATTTGTCAGGGACAGAGGGAGAGAGAGTGAGCGAGCACAGGCAGACAGAGAAGCAGGCAGAGGCAGAGGGAGAAGCAGGCTCCCTGCCGAGCAAGGAGCCGGATGTGGGACTCCATCCCAGGACGCTGGGATCATGACCTGAGCCGAAAGCAGCCGCTTAACCAACTGAGCCACCCAGGCGTCCCTAGTTTGTTTTGTTTTTAAAGATTTTATTTATTTACTTCTCAGGGCAAGAGAGGGCACAAGCAGGGGTGCAGCAGGCGGAGGGAAAAGCAGGCTCCCCATTGAGCAAGGACCCCTGGATCATGACCCTGAGCCCAAGGCAGACGCTTCACTGACTGAGCCCCCCAGGCGCCCCTGTAGTTTGGTTTTGGCCCCTTGGTCTCTGGAGCCGTCACCACCGCAGTAACGAGTGCTTAGAGGAGGTGAATGCTCACAAACAAACGTGTATTACTCTGGAATAGTTTCCCCTCAAATGAAGATCCTTTCTTCTGATTATTGGGATAATATGCATTAATTCTGAAAGGCTGAAACAATTCAGAAAAGTATAAAAAGTAAGAATCATTTGAAATTTCACCACTCAAAAGTAACTGTTAACATGGCATGTTTTGGGGTGTCTCGGTGGCTCAGTCGGTGAAGCGTCCAAGCCTTCAGCTCAGGTCCTGCTCCCGGGGTCCTGGGATCGAGTTCCGCGTCGGGCTCCTTGCTCGGAGGGGAGCCTGCTCTCCCTCTGCCTGCCGCCTCCCCTGCTTCTGCCATGCACGCTCTCCGACAAATAAGTAAATAAGCTCTTTAAAAAAAAACCCAAACCATAGCATGTCTTTAGTGCCCGCGTGTTCGTACACGCATACTTACGCCAAAGTGGGATTGTGCTGTGCCGTGAACGTACTTCATCAAATCTAAGACGTGATTGAGTTTAAGAAGCCATGTTTATGTACGATTAGGAAAGAAAAAAAGACTTTCACACCTGCTTTCCTTTGTCATTTAGATTTTATGCTTACGTACAGTTTTTTTAGACTTATTTAGAAATTTATTTTAATCACGTGTTGTTCTTATGCATACATGAGAAGGAAAGTCTAAGTGAAATCAGTTGGGTACCATCTCCCAAACGTGTCACAGTCAGAGTCTGGCTGCTCTGAGCCGGTTTTCGCTCTGGCTGGCGCTATGCTCGTCCCCGCAGAGTCCTCAGTCAGGAGGCTCGGTGCCAGCCGCAGACACCTGTTCTGCAGGGGCACGTGCTGGGTTTCTCTCTGGGTTACTAGCAGGGCATGACAGCCCTAAATCCTCCCATTTTTTTCTTGACTGATCATTAAGTGGCTTGTTTGACAGAAATGTTGAGGGATGACAGTTGTCCAGCTGTGCTGTGTGGATGACAGGTTTCCAGGAGCCCAGGCAGTCACCTGTATGTCCTGCGGCCCCACAGGCGGGCACTGGGGCACGTATTCTTCCCAAGGTGCCTCTTTTCCAGGGGTGTTCGGATCATTTGTGGTCCTGGTGTTTTTTACTTGACGATAAATTAAGGAATGGTTTTAGGTCAATAAATAGAGATTTGTATCGTTTTAAAAATAACACATAACAGGGGAGCCTGGGTATCTTACTTGGTAAGCGTCCTGTTCACGACTCAGGCTCAGCTCGTGATCTCAGGCTTGTGAGTTTGAGCCCTGAGTTGGGGTCCAAGAGGGTGTGGAGTCGGCTTGAGATCTGTGCCTTTCCCTCTGCCGCCCCCCACCCCCACCCCGTTCGCGCTGTCATCCGTGCACGTGCTCACTTGCTCTTTTTCCCAGAAGAAAGAAAGAACACGTGACGGGGTGCCAGGCTGGCTTAGTCAGTAGAGGGTGTGACTCTTGGTCTTGGGATGGTGGGTTCGAGCCCCACATTGGGTGTAGAGATTATTTAAAATTAAAAAAAAATGTATAACATAAAATTTGTCCTCGAAACCAATTTTTTTTTTCAAAGATTTTATTTATTTGAGAGAGAGCATGAGAGGGGAGAAGGTTGGAGGGAGAAACAGGCTCTCCGTGGAGCTGCGAGCCTGATGTGGGACTTGATCCCAGGACTCTGGGATCATGACCTGAGCCGAAAGCAGTTGCTTAACCCACTGAGCCACCCAGGCGCCCCGAAACCAATTTTTAAAGTAATGTGTATACTCACCGTGAGGCTTGAAGTCGTGACCCTGAGATCGAGAGTTGCTTCTCTACCTGAGCCAGCCGGGCGCCCTTGGCCTAAACCGTCTCTGCGTCCGCGGTTCCGTCGTGTGAGGTAATTCACGTGCAGTCGTTACGACCATCCAGTGCCCGAACTTCTTCATCTTGCGGATCTGAAACTGTGTGTGTTAAACAGCAGCGCCCCCTTTCCCCCGCCCCAGACCGTGGTTTCTGCCATCCCGTTTTGTGTCTTCCGGCATCTTCCTACCCGGGTCGCTCTTCGTCAGAAGTTAGTAACAGGCTGTGGGTGCGCACGGGGCTCCGACGAGGCTGCGGACCGCTGCGGACGCGGCTGGCTCAGCTCGCTGTTCTGCACCCTGAGCGCCTCCATCCTGCTTTCCCGAGCGGCGTTCAGCCCCCCCGGGCGCTGCCGTTCGCGGTGGGAGGCGGTGGAGGCTGCCGGAGCTGCCTCACAGGGTCCGAGAGTCGCCGGTTGTCTTGAGGCCGCCCAGCGCCGCTCCTGCCGCGGCTCCTCAGACCGCGAGCCTCCCTGGACGGCTCCTCCGGGCTGTCTCGCTCAGCAGCAGCACCCCTGCCTCGGGTCGCTGTCGGGCTGCTGCTGTCCCTCCCCTGCTCGGGCTGGAGGATGGCTCTAGCCTGTCCTAATTGACCTCTGCCGTCTGTGACCTCCTTTCTCCTTTTTTTTTTTTTTTTAACCGTGAAGTAAACTACATACTAAGAAACGCTTGGCAAATACGGACAAATGACTGATGGTGAAGGAGGGGTGCGGCCGGTGCTGCAGGGTCAGCGGCCTTCCCCGCGCCCTGACGCCTCCGGCGCTGATGGGGACGGCTTCCCCCTTTCCTGCAAAGTTGTGCCACTTCAGCGTGTGCTCCTAGACCCTAAACTGTAGTTCTGCTTGTTTTTGAATTTGACATACGTGGGTCCTGCTGTGCGTTCCTTCTCGTCTCCTCCAGTTATGAGCGTGGTAATTTTACTCCGCACGCGCTTCTGGTTTTCCGACATCAGTTTTACACACAGTTCACCTCAGGTGTGAATATAACATCTTTAAGATTTTAAAGATCTATTTATTTGTTTGAGAGAGAGCGAGAGACCGAGAGAGTGTGCTGCGGTGGGGGTGGGGGCGCGGACGGAGAGGGAGAGAGTCTTAGACTCTGCGGGGCTCAAGGTCATGACCCTGAGATCATGCCCTGAACTGACGTCAAGAGTCAGGCACTCAGGTGACCCAAGCGCCCGGTTGTTAAGATTTTAACGATGCTTTTATGAGACTCTGATAAACTTTTTTTTAAGTGGTTGGTCCCCTGTGTTAGATTTCTGTATCTTTAGATAAAGGACTCAAAAGTTCAGGAGCGCCTGTGGGGCTCAGTCGTTAAGCATCTTCCTTCCACTCAGGTCATGATCTGGGGTCCTGGGATCGAGCCCCGTGTTGGGCTCCCTGCTCAGCGGGAAACCTGCTTCTCCGTCTCTCACTGTGTCTCTCTCTGTCGAATGAACAAATTATTTAAAAAGAAAAAAAACCAAACTCAAAAGTTCACAGAAGCAGTTATGTTCATGGGAGTAGCACAACCGGCGATACATCTGTTTCTGCGTCTCAGAGGTGGGGCTCCACATGGGTCGCACTACTGCTGCCTCGTAGTTGAAAAGGCACTTGGAGGCGCCTGGGCGGTGCAGTCGGTCAAGTGGCTGCCTCTGCTTTCGGCTCAGGTCACCATCTCCTGGTCGGGAGACTGAGCCCAGCATTGGGCTCTGCGATCGGCGTGGAATCTGCTGGAGGTTCTCTCTCCCTCTGCCCCTTCCCCATGCCCTCGCGTGCACTCTAAGATAAATAAACAAATCTTAAAAATAAAAAAAGCTCGATCTCCGTCCTTATGGGGAGTATAAACGCTGGTCATGCGGTCCCAGGGGACTTACCTTTATACAGAGGGCTGGCTCCACAACAGCCCTGCCCATTTTGGAAACTCCTTTTCATCCTGGGAGTAGCGTGGTAGCTTTCAGGAAGCGCACACGCGTGGCGAAAGCTTTCTCGTTTTGGAAATAGCTTGGAGGGTGTTGGGTACAGAGAAGCATGGTGGGTTTGCGGAACAGCTGCCACCGTTGGTTAATTTCAGTTTATATCTAAGCTATTGCAGAGAAGAGTCAAAGTCACTATTTTTAGTCTTTTGTCTTAACTTTTATTGCAGTTGGGAATATAAATTTCATGGTCTTAATTTGCTGATGCTTTCTTTTTTTAATTTTTAATTTTATTATTTTTTTAATTTTTTAAAATTTTATTTATTTATTTGACAGATCACAAGCAGGCAGAGAGGCAGGCAGAGGGAGAGGGGGAAGCAGGCTCCCTGCTGAGCAGAGAGCCTGACGCGGGGCTCGATCCCAGGACCCTGAGACCATGACCTGAGCCGAAGGCAGAGGCTTAACCCACTGAGCCACCCAGGCGCCCCTCTTTTTTTTTTTTTAAATATTTTATTTATTTATTTGACAGAGACCGCAAGCAGGCAAAGAGGCAGGCAGGGGGCAAGGGGAAGCAGGCTTCCTGCTGAGCAGAGAGCCTGATGTGGGACTCCATCCCAGGACCCTGAGACCATGACCTGAGCCGAAGGCAAGGCTTAACCCACCGATCCACCCAGGTGCCCTCGCTTTTTTTGATTAAAAAAAAATTTATTTGACACAGAGAGGTACAGCAGGAGGGAACACAGGCAGGGGAATGGAGAGGGAGAAGCAGGCTTCCTGCCGAGGAGGGAGATAGACGCGGGGCTCGATCCCAGGACTCCACGATCAAGACCTGAGCCAAAGGCAGACGCCTACTGACTGAGCCCCTCCCGGTGCCCCTTAAGGACCATTTCTTATTATCACTTTGAGAATTTCAGAATGACAAGATGGAGTTACTTGTAATTCATGTATTTAAAATCTGTAGGAAATGAGATTAGTATGTAAAGCTAATCATTAAATGAAGTCTTTTTTCTCATAGTGAGTAAGTAGTAGGTTTTACCAATAATTCCATGTTAAAGGAGAAGTTGGCTGAAAAGGAGCAGGTCGGACTAGGCAGAAATGGTATTTCGCTGACTCAGGGAAATACGCAGAGCTCCTCTCTGACCTGCACTGTCTCCGTCAAAATTCTCGTGGCAGCCCCCCTTAATTTGTTTCTCTGTTAATGATTCAAACGTAGTTGACGGCGGTTCTCTTTTGAAAACCAGTCACAGGACATTCAACGTGATGGTTTCAGATTGTGTGTTCGAGAGCTCTCGCCCTAGTCTCCCTCTTACGTGTCCTTCCGGTATTTTCTCTGGGTCTGACGCTATCTGGTGTCCCAGTCTTCAGCCTGGAGTTCCTGGCGAGGGGGCTTGCTGCTGACCCCTCAGGTTTTGCTGGCCCGACAGCATTTTCATTTCGCGTTCGTAGGCAGAGGGTGTTTTTGCCAGATACAGAAATCTGAGTTGACGGATTTTTATTCCCTCTCAGCACTTCGAAGGTGTCATTCTGTTGTCCTCTGGTCTCCATTGATCTCCGGCTGTCAGCGGTATGACCCTGACGCAGGCACCGAGCGACCGTTTTTTATGTGCCCTGCTCGGGGGGTGCTGAACCTTCTGGATTTGTTACTCTGCTTGTCATCACCTTCACGGTTTTCAGCCATTCGTTCTTCAAGTGCTTTTCAGCCCTTTCCTTATTTTATTGTCCTTAGGATCGTTTGATGTCGTCCTAGGAGTTCATCAGGTTCTCGTCATTTGTCTTTAAAATCTCCGTCTTCAGACGGTGCGGATTCTTGAAGTTTGTCTGCAGGCTGATCGCCTCCTCCTGCTGCGTCTCCCGTCTGCTGACCGGCCCGTCCAGCGTTTCCCGTTTCAGTTGCTGTTTTCTGTTCTAGAACTTCCATTTCCTTCCACTTGATTATTTGGTTCTCTGCTGAGACTCCTGGTCTCTCCGCGCATTTGCCTCTGCTCTGTTGAGCCCCGAGCGTTGAGGTACAACTTGGCCTGCTCTCCTGGCCCCCGACTCCAGTGCTGCCGGGCTGCTGATGCCTTGCCGGGCACCCCCTCGGTCTCGGCTTTAAAGGGAAGGCCTGTCTTTTCCTTCACCCTCTCCGTGCCTCCTTGCCGGTGTGGTCTTCCTCCCGCCCCCCCAGTTCTCAGGCCAGAAGTCTGAACCCCGCGCTGATGCCCTTCCTTGCCCTCACCCCGTTCTGCCCCATTCCCACGTGAGCACGGGCTGTTGACTGTGATAGTTGGAAGGTGTGCTTCTCCCTCCATCTCCATTGTCCTGGCCTTGACTGAGCCCGGCTCCTCTGGGCCGGGCAGCCGGCTCTCCTGTTTCCTCTTCCCACCTCCAGCAGAGTGTCCGTGAGAAGAAAGCCTCACGGCTTGGCCACCCCTGCTCTCAGCTCCTGTGGCTTCCACGGCTCCTGGGCTGGAATACAGAGTCCTCCGAGCCCACATGGTCTCATCTGCCTTGCCATGCTTGTCTCTTAACGCTTCCTTCTTGCCTGCCGGGCTCTGGCCTGACTGGCCTCTCTTCCCCACCTCTCAGCCCTCGTGCTTCTCCTCTTGCCCGCACTGTTCTTTCTCAGCTCTGTGAGTACAGCCGTAGTCCCTTCCCCTGGGGTTCTGCTCAGACGTGTTCCTCAGAGGCCTTGTCTGTCCTGCTGCCTGGGGTGGCCTCTCCTCTGCTGCCCTTTCTTCCTTTCTTACCTCCTGCTAGTCCGCACCTGTGGTTCTCGTCTCTTAGCTTTCTCCCCGCTTTGATGCTAAGGTCCTCAATGGCAGGAACCTGGTCTGTATTCATTCATTGTTGTGTTCTGAGCATCCAGAATGGAGCTGGCCCTTGGGAGTGCTTACTGTTTGGGAGGTCAGGGAGCGAGCGTTTGCAGCCCCTGGTGCAGGGCCTGGTGTGGGAGCTCATGGTCAGCACTGACTGGGAGGCACCATTCTTCACCTCTGTTTTTCTTCTCTTAGGTTTCAAAATTGGATTTTTTTTTCTTTTTTCCTTTTTTTTTTTTAGATTTATTTATTTGAAAGAGAGAACATGAGCAGGAGAATGGGTAGAGGGAGAAGCAGGCTCCCCATTGAGCAGGGAGCCCACCACAGGACTCGATCCCAGGACCCAGAGATCATGACCCGAGCCGAAGGCAGACGCTTCACTGACTGAGCCCCCAAGGCACCCCTGGAACTGGGTTTTTACAATTGATTTCAAAAGTAGAAGTTAAACTTGCCAGGTGTAGCCGTGACTTTTGCTTGCCTCAGGCTCTTAGATGTGTCCTGTAGCCTTCTCATTTTCACAGAGCTTTGCTTCTGTTTGGCCACTTTTCTCATTTTACTTGACATCCGTGTGGGCAGTACGAATTCCTCACAGAGACCAAAATCACAAGAGGAATTTGGTTCCTGAGGACCAGGTCTAAATTTAGTGAGCGTTGTTCTAGTATCATCTGGTGCATGTGTGGCCAGAGTAGTGATACTCAAATATTTGTTTCAACATGTGTTTTTTGGGGCTTTGTTTTAGGTCGCAAAGGAGTTTGGTTTCCAAAATAACGGCTTCTCAGTTTACATCAATAGAAACAAGACTGGAGAGATAACAGCCTCGTCGACCAAATCCCTCAGTCTGCTCAAAATCCAGTAAGTGCTGGGAGGGGACGACGGAGTGGGAGGGGACGACCGCAGGGCCCACCGCCGCTGCTCGGCTCTGCCCGGCTTCCCCTCGATGCCACCGTGTTTCTTGGGGGATCGTCCGCTGTCACGCTGAACGTGCCGCTCCTTTCACGCCAGCCCGTGCACTCGCAGCCGGGGACGTGTGTCCCTGAGAGGAGAGGGTTCCGGGTTCCGGGGGTGGGCGCGCGCCGCTGCTGCACACCCCGCTCCTCTGCGGGGGACCTTGAACGGAGCTGCGTGTGGTCTACCCTGGGACTGCCGGCTGGCCGGGAGGGGCCGGTGCCCACACGACGTTTCTTGGTGGCGGGGCCCCCCGAGCTCCTCCGCGGCAGCCGGTCACGCTAGTGGCGTTTCCAGGAGGTCCAGCCGTCTGCCCGCAGCCGCTGCCCGCTCTCCTAGTCTCGAGGGTGTGCGGCCACCTCGCTCAGATGCGCGCTCCTGCCGCCAGCGTGGGGCCGAGCGATTGTGGCCCAGACGGCATGGCCTGCAGAGCCGGGGATGTTTACTGCTGGGCTCTTTACAGAAGAAGCTTCCTGACTCCTGTCTGACCTGTCTGGGCACAGCTGCTTGTGCATCCACGATTCCGGGCCCCAGTAGCGAGCCGGGAGCGCTCCTGTCGGGGCTGAGGCAGCGTGGCTGCTGTGGCCGCTGCGGGCTGCTTGGGCTGCGCTTGCTGGCGGCCGGCCCTGTGCCTGTTGACCTGTCTTGACCATCGCCGTGATCACTTTTAGGTTCACAGATTAGTACATCCAGGACAAATATGCAGTCTTAGCGTTTATTCATTTGCTTCTCAGCAAATACTTGTGGGCACCTTGCCTGTCTCTGTAATTAGTCAAAGCTTTTCGTTGTCGTCAATGTCGTCTGCTTTCCATGTGGCTGAGGTATATCCGTCCTTTCCTTGTAAAGAGCTTTTGCATCCTTTTTTTTTAAGATTTTATTTGACAGAGATCACAAGCAGGCAGAGAGGCAGTCAGAGAGAGAGGGGGAAGCAGGCTCCCCGCTGAGCAGAGAGCCCGATGCGGGGCTCGATCCCAGGACCCTGAGATCATGACCTGAGCCGAAGGCAGAGGCTTTAACCCACTGAGCCACCCAGGCGCCCCAAGAGCTTTTGTATCTTGAGAGTTATTTCTCCCAAGTGTTACGTGGCTCACTATCGTAGCTGAGCACTCGGTGCGGCGTGCCTGCACGAGTTGCTGACCCTCACTGGGGCTCGCCAGCCACGTCTGCAGGCGGGTGGCAGTGCCGCCTGGGTGTGGTTGCTGGGTGCCTGCACGTGCGAGCTTGCGGACTAGAGCGATCGCACGCACAAGCAGAGGCGGCCACAGACAACTCTGCGAGAACACCGTCTAGCGTTCGCGTCATGCCAGCGCTGACCCGGAGGGGTGGGACCGCAGAGGGGCAGGACGGCTCAGCCACCCGAGGTACACCCTTGAGCGCACCTTTCCAGTGCTTGTCGTCATACTTCTGGACCAGCTTGGGTCTGCACTTGAGGGCACGTGTCTGAAGGAGAGAGCGATGTTCCTCTCCTCGAGCTCGGGCTTGATCTCTGTCTACTTCCGGCTTCTCTGGTTGCGGCTCGTAAATGATCTTTTTTCCCCTCTGGCTGCTTTTAAGATTTTCTGTTTCTGTTGGGGACCTACAGTTTCTTTCTGGCTTTTCCAGGAGTGTGTTCCTGGTTTGTTTAATCCTACATGATGGATATTGTATTTTCTGTCCCTGCAGATCAGGTCTGGAAAATTTGTGGCCATTATCTCTTTAAATATCACTTCTCTCCAGTTCTCTTGTTGTTTCAGGGATTATATTTTTCAGTTTTAAAATATCTGACTTGATTTCTTTTCAAACTCAGCCGTTAGCTCCGTGTGCTTATGGGGGCTGCGTTGCTGTCATACTGGCCCTCCGGGCTTCCATTGAGGACCACTGGGCTCCTTGGGGCTCTGCCTTGGCCCGTCACACACCTCAGGGTGTCTGAGGTGGTCAGTCTCCCCAAGGTGGCATCAGAGCTGCCTGTGGATTGTCTGGCCTGACCGTATGAGGGGGATTCAGGAAGATTTACCCAAATCTGTGGCCCCTGCCACGCTCCTTCCCAGAGGTCCCTGTCCTTTTGGGTGGCCTCTCGCTTCTTGTGCTTTTTCCAGCCCGTTTTCATTGAACATTCTGTAGACGTTGATATTCCGTGTCTTGCAGCTCCAAAACTGGAATCCCGGCTGTCCAGTTCTGTTCCTGTGGCGTGTGCCCTCTCTTGAGTGTGGTCTCTGGCTTCTCTTGTGCATTTGAGAGCTTGTAATTGACCAGACCTGGTGGTGGGGAGGCCCTGGCAGGCCAGAGGGTTTTCTGCCGGGGAAGTTTGCGCTTGCTTCTGTTGGCCCGGGGGGCTCTGTGGACCTGCCACTCCCTCCAGTTAATTTTTGTCTTTGGGCTTCTGGAGCCGAGTAGCATCCCTGATTCTAGCCTGGAGGCCGGCAGAGCCGGCCTGTGGTCACAGACTCTGCGAGGTGGCTGTTCTCTCTACTGCAGTTTGGGGGCAGGAAGACAGGACTCCTCCTCGGTTCCTGTTTTCGGCTGGTGGTTCTTCCCAGCGGCTGAGACTGGCTTCACGTGGTGTTCCAGGCTCAGCGGCTGCTTCAGCTTAGGCAGGCTCACGGCCTCGCCGCCTGTCGCCCGGAGGAGGACCGTGGAAGCCAAGCTCAGGGCTCCTGTGGGGCATTGTTCTCTGGCCCTTCTTGTGGGCGCTCCTCTCGCCGTGTGGGCCCGTGGGGCGCTCCTTCCTTCATTAGAGCTTCGCGGTGCATGTTAGAGCACGTCCGCCCGACCTGGTGCAGCCCCCGAGCCGAGTATTGTGTAGCTGGAGGGTGTTCAGGAATGTCTGGTCCCTTGTGAGAAACAGGAGTTACAGTCTGGCAGTTTTTCTTCCTAAATTACGGAAGGAAAACGAGGAGAGAACAGGCCTAGGGAAGAGCTACAGCCACGCCTCTCCGTGTCCCGTGTCTGTGGTGTTCGCTCTCCAGGCCCGCTGCCTGCCGCCTTCGGTGGGTCGGGCCAGGGCCGCAGCAGGCCCCTCCGTGCGTGTCTCGCTGGCGGCAGTAAGTGCTAACGCGTGGCAGTGCTGCAGCTTCTCCTCCGGCCTGAGGTTGAATTTGGTGTTGTAGATCCTCTCCCTGGGCGCGGAGCCCACGTCGCTTCTGTCCAGCGCATGGAGGTGGGAGCATCTCACACCTTTGGGTCTCGTTGGTCTGGCTGCGCGAAGCGGGCCCTGCAGTGAGTCAGCCGTGTGAGTGAGCAGGAGAGAGCGTGACTTCATGGAAATGGTAGTAAATCCAGCGCTGCTGTTGGAACTGTGAATCGTGCAGCCTGTTTGGAAAGCAGCACATTGGCGACATCACAAACAAAACCTTCCGCCTAGCAGGGCCACTCCTGGAAATGCGCCCTGTAGAAGGAAAACCCACAGCTGCCTGTCCTCGAGCCTTTCCTTGAGTGCCGTTCTTGGTGGCAGAAGCCCGTGGGTAGCACGCGTGGCCGTCAGCGTGGGAACGCGTGTGTGAGTGACGAGTCGGGCTTGTCGGGAGCATGGTGCCACCATGAGAAGCAGTGATTAGACCCAGACCCCGTGTTGCCGGGGGGGATCCGGAGCGAGGTATTGTTGAATGAGAAAAGCAGGTGCAAACTGTGTGTCTACGACAGTCTCGTGTTTGTCAAGCAGTGTCACACGACGTCTGCGTACTCGTGTGGGGGGTGCATGTGAGCGCAGGGGGAGAGGCGGAGGCTGTGTACCAGGTAGATGGCACGTCGGGCCCTTGAATGGTGACGGTAAGGGGTGAGCAAGAAGCGGGAGCAAGTCCCTGAATGAGAAGCAGGAAGAAGGCCGCCCCCAGGTCGAGTGTGTTTGTTGTGGCTCCACTTCATCCGTGCAGAGTGCAGTGGGCACACGGATGTTTTACAGTCGCCGAAGACAGTCACAGTTGCAGAGAACCTGCTCTGACCTTTAGAACATTCGGGAGCGTAGGAGAGATGCAAAGGGGGAATTCTAGCCTTTGACAATTCGAGGTCTCAGCTGAGATGTTGGCGTTTGCCTCTCAGATGTTAGAGGCCCTCCCGTGAGGGTGAGCAGCCCTTCCGTGCAGCCCAGGCTGTGGGAGGATAGAAAGCCCTGCCCTGTGTTTGTCGTCCGGCAGGCACGGAGACCTGCTGTTCCTGTTTCCCTCCGGCCTCGCTGGGCCCTCCTCGGAGATGGAGACGTCGGCCCCGCTGGGGCTGAAGGCCTGCGGTGCTCCCAGCGTGGTGGAGGACGAGATCGACCAGTACCTCAGCAAGCAGGACGGGAAGATTTACAGAAGCCGAGACCCGCAGCTGTAAGTGTCTGTGGGGCCCCGTCCCAGCTGTGCTGCCTTAGTGGCTCAGGAGGTGAGATGTTTGTAGCGCGCCGTATCTGCTGAAGGAACACGAGTTCTCAGTTTGATCACCTCCTTTCAGATAAAATTTCACTTCATGTTATTTTTCAAGCTTTTTCTTGTTGCATGAAGCTCCGTGTTTGTGCCACGCGTCCTTTCCGAAGCTCTCAGGTGTTTGGAACTAAGATTTGAAAGAAGGGAACTGAAACCAGACCTTGCCCTCGCTGCAGTCCTGATGCTCCCCCCGCCGTGCAGCGTGCTGGGCCTCAGCGCGTGTGCGGGGCCGGGAGTGGGGAAGCAGGGAAGGGGGGGATGCTGGGCACCGAGCAGTGCAGGGTGTAGCTCGGGCCGTCGTGCTGGATACAGTCGGGAAACGTCAGCATCGTGCACACAGCGCCTCCTTCCCATTCTTTCCAGTGGACGCTTCGTGCGCAACATGCTGGTCCTCGAATGTTTACCCTCCGCCTAGACTTTGTGGAACGGTTATGCTCAGCTCCGTTTATGTATTGGTGGTCTTTTGTTGTTCTCTTTATTTTTTAAAAAAGTTTTATGGACACCTGGGGGGCTCAGTTGGTTAAGCATCTGCCTTTGGGTCAGGTCATGATCCCAGAGTCCTGGGATTGAGCCCCACGTCAGGCTTCCTGCTGTGCAGGAAGCCTGCTTCTCCCTCTCTCTGCCACTCCCCTACTTGTACTCTGTCTCTCTAAAAAATAAGAAAAATCTTTAAGGGGCGCCTGGGTGGCTCAGTGGGTTAAGCCGCTGCCTTTGGCTCAGGTCATGATCTCGGAGTCCTGGGATCCAGCCCCGCATCGGGCTCTCTGCTCAGCGGGGAGCCTGCTTCCTCCTCTCTCTCTGCCTGCCTCTCTGCCTACTTGTGATCTCTGTCTGTCGAATAAATAAATAAAATCTTAAAAAAAAAAAAAAGAAAGAAAAATCTTTAAAAACAATTTTAAATTTTTTAAAGACTTCTTTGTCTTAGAGAGAGGGCGCACACGGTGCATGTTGAGGGGAGGGGCGGAGGGAGAGAGAATCTGGAGCGGACCCCCCCAGTGACCGTGGAGGGGGGTGCAGGGCTTGATCCCGTGACCTGAGGTCACGTGCTGAGCTGAAACCGAGAGTCAGATGCTTCACGGACTGAGGCACCCCGGCCCTGCAATTCTTCTTAAAGAAACTGGTTGGAAACGCCAGAGTTTACACTCAGTGACGTGAAATGCCTGAGTGGAGGTGGTTGTGTCTGCGGTAGGGCCTCGTAGCCACATCGCTCCATAAACCCAGCGGGGCGCTGACACTGAGAGATCGGGGTTGCGAGTGCTGCGCTAGCAACTTGTACGTCTTAGTTTAAAGAGCCCCAGATTGCGCTGTGCTGCGGCTGGCCCGGAGCCCCTCCGCGGCCCCTCCGCGGCCGACCGCCAGCCGCCTGCCCGCGTTGGAATTTCCTCCCCAGGAACCCGTGCTGGCTCCCCCCCGGCGCCCCCCGATCGGTGTCTTTGAGGCTTCGTTAGGAATCTTTCAGGGTGTGCACGTGTGTGCACGTTCCGGCTGCCGTCAGTGAGAGCCTGGCTGTTCGGAGACTCTGAGTGTGGGATGCACACGTGTCTGAGCGTTGTGACCCCATTTAGAAAAGGGTCCTGTCCAGCCCAGAGGGACAGCCGCTCGGCTTTCCCACCAGGGTCACCGCCCTCATCGGAGCACGTCGTGCTGCCCCCTCGTACGTGTGGCACCCCTGCGGCTTCTCTTCCGAAGTCACCAGTCTTGGTGACCCGTAGAGCCTGCCACCTTCATGCTTTTCCCCAAATGTGCGCAAAGTGGGTGTTTTCCCAACTGGAGTTACTTCTGTCCCGCTGGCAGGTTTTTGGCCGTATCCACATCCCAACCTCCTTAGTGTTGACTTAACATGGATTTAAACCCGTTTTTAAGTCCATTCGCTTTTCCTTTTATTTAGTTTCAAATGAAGCAGTTACTGTCTGTAGAGTCACAGGTTTGACGTGCTGGGCAGTTTTTCTGATACGAGTCAAAATCGTTAATAAACTATATATATATATATATTTTAAGATTTCATTTATTTATTTCACAGATCACAAGCAGGCAGAGAGGCAGAAAGTGGGGGGCGGAAGCAGGCTCCCTGCTGGGCAGAGAGCCCGATGCGGGGCTGGATCCCAGGACCCTGAGATCATGACCTGAGCCGAAGGCAGAGCCTTAACCCACTGAGCCACCCAGGCGCCCCAGATACTAAACAATACTAAAATAAAAAATGCTCACATACCATTGAAAATAATTCCACACGGGGCACCTGGCGGGCCGTCACAGAGCATGGACTCCTGATTTGGGCTTCTGAGGTCATCCCCACATTGGGCGTTGAGTTTACTTAAAAATGGGTGCAGTGGCCCCACACAGGCAGGGCAGTACTCGAGTGCGGCATACGTGCTCCGTGCCCGAGCGCCGGGCGGCCGCGGGAGAGCAGGCGCGCTAATTGCTGTGTTTCTCTTGCCCTGTGCTCTCAGGTGCCGACACGGCCCCTTGGGGAAATGCGTGCACTGTGTTCCGCTAGAGGTGAGAGTCCGTGCAGCGTAAGTTCTGGGCGGGCGGGAGGGGCTGCTCCCCAGGGCACGACTGCACGTGCCCTGCACCCGTGCGCCGGGTCGGGAGTGGGGAAAAGAACCTCCTTGTTTGTCGCTCTGGGCCTCGCGTGCCCACTAGTGCAAGCTGCTTGAAGAGGACGGGCCTTCATTTATGGGAGTGACCTTCCCGGTGGGTGCCGATCGGCTGAGGCGTTGTTTTTGCCGTGACGGAGGGCAGCGCTTGCAGTCCCTGTAAACCTGACGCAGAGCTGGGGCTGCCGGTTTCTGGGCTCGTCATTGCTCTGATTTACTTTCCCCACGTCCTCCTCCTGATGGGTCGTGGTGAGACGGACAGTTACCGTAATGACGCTGACGGGTCCCGGGTCGGTGCGGGGTTCACGGCAGCGCGGCCGACCTGATTTTCTTCATGAGCCTCCTCTTGGTCTTACGGGCTTCTTCCCCGCCCGCCCCAAAATGTTCCTAGTATTTATTTGACCTAGAGCATGTTGTATCTAATAGAGATTCATTTTAATCCTGGAAAGATAACTGGTGCCCAAAGAAGCCTTCGGTCCCGACCTAGAATGATGAGTGAGAAGCGAGCGCCCACCCTCCCTCCTTGCCCTGCACGGGTCCTGGCTTGGTGTCTGCCTGCGTGCGGCAGAAGCGTGGCTGCCCGCCTCTCTGAGCCTTGGGGCGCCGGCCGGCGCGTGACCGTTCTGTGTGTGTTTTGACAGCCGTTTGACGAGGACTACCTGAACCATCTCGAACCTCCTGTGAAGCACATGTCCTTCCACGCCTACATCCGCAAGCTGACCGGGGGGGCCGACAAGTAAGCAAGGGAGCGCCGTCCTGTGCCGACGTGGCTGTGGCGTACCCAAGGCCTCTTGTGTGTCTGGAAGGTGTTGCTTAAAGCCTGTGGTCTCGGGAATGAGAAGAGCAGAGGTCGGGGTCTGGGCACAGAGCATTTGAGTTCGTGACTTTTGCCCCGATTCTAGAGAAGAGAGGGGTGGAGACTGACGCCCTTTTGTCATCCACATGCCCAGGGCATTGGGCGGTGCCAGGCTGGCAGCGGCCGCTGTGGAGGCCCCTGGGGAGCATTCCCGGCCTTGCCGCAGCGATGTGGTGCTCTGGCAGCTTAGCTGTGTGTGGCGGGGAAGGCCAGGTCGGATGGTGGCCAGAGCTCGTGCCCTGCTTTTCGGCACAACTGAACCACCCGCGGTTAGCTCCGCCCACTTGTCCCACAGCCCCCTTGAGCCCTTTGCCCTGGAGCCTGCCTCTTTATCGGGTGGTTTCACAGCCAACCACACCCTGCGTGGGGCCTGAAGCCGCGACACCACCCACGCCGGAGGCTCGGGTGCCCTAGCCGGACGGTCTGCAGGCCTGGCCCAGCGGCCAGTGGGGCAGCCGTCTCTCGGCTCCCCGCGTGCGAGCTGCGACAGTGTCTGGAGAGGGGGTGACTGAGAGCATTTCATTTCTTTCAACCCACGTCATGTACTTCCCTGTGTGACCCCTTTCTCTTGCCTATATGGCTACATGTTCACCTGCCCAGAAAGCAGTGGACCTCATACCACGATTTTATGATTCCCGTCAGTGCAGCGGGAGGAGATGGCGGCTGAACCCGAGTCAGCACCATTTGTGCAGAATGTCATGTTGGCCTGATTATAGTTTTTCTCTGACAACCTGCTGACATCCTGAAACGGCTTTTAAAAAAAATTAGACCACGAGAAGAAAATCCTACCAGAAACCCATTCTTGCCTGTCAGTGGGGGTACACCATGGAGCTTTCTGGACTAGGGAGCGAGTAGAGATTCGTTGTGCTGAAACCCGTCAGCCTTCCACCAATCTGGGTCTAGGCTGCAGTATCCCATGGGGCCACATGGGCAGCTCTTGGTCCCATGTGGGCTGGTGGCCATCACTGCTTGCCAGGGGCCCGCAGGCCAGCGTGCTGTTGGCCTGTGAAGACAGGATCGAGTTCCTGGACTGTCGTTTGAGTGGGAAACTGGCAGAAGGTGAAGGCGCCTGTGCCCACCCACTCCACATTGGTGGGACCCCGGCTTCCTTGCCGACAGACTGAGTTTCAGCCAGAAGCCGGGGAAGATGCCTTTGTGTGGTGACCTCCTCAGGCTTTCTCCCTTGATTCAGAGTTTTTTACAGACATGTAAGTACTGGACTCGCAATGCAGGTGTTGCTGATAAGTTAATGAAACTTAAAAACAAGATTTTGTTTCCTGTCAGTGGCTCAGGTGAGATTAATAGGCATTTAATAGTATCCTTGAACATTTTCATGGGTATTAGCGACAAACATCGAAAATGGAGACTTCTTACAGGGAAGCAGTTGGGTATTTCTGCACAGTCTCCGCGTGTAGGACAGAAGCTGGGACTCCGTGACAGCAGTTCTCAGCACGTCCCCCCACCGCTGTCCGCCGCACGCTTAGCTTCTCAGAGCTCTGTTCTGGAGGTAGAAGACGTTTCACTTGTGATTTCCAGTCTCCTGCTGAAGTTTTCACTGTTGGAATGTTGAATTAATTAACCTGCCTCTTCTTATTCAGGGGGAAATTTGTCGCCCTGGAGAACATCAGTTGCAAGATTAAATCAGGGTGCGAGGGTCACCTTCCGTGGCCTAATGGCATCTGCACCAAGTGCCAGCCGAGTGCCATCACACTGAACAGACAGGTGAGACGTTCGCTGTGGCCATCCAGACCGCGGAGAGCCGTAGACTTGGCTCATGGCTCAGAAATGAACATCTGCAGACAAGGCCCTCCTTGGAGGGCGCCGCCGCTGGCCGAGTGCCCTGGGTGGGGTGCGTCCGAGTGTGTTTCCAGGTCCTGTGCTGGAGATGCTGCTGCTGAGATCACTAGGTGTTGCCCGCGTGGAGGGGGGTCTTTTGTTTTCACTTTTGTTGGTTCTGTGGAGGCAGGACTTTCTTGGTGACTGTTTAAAATGCTCCGGGGTTGCACTTCTTCTAAGTGGCCCTGGAAGCTGGCAGCCACAGTGTCCTGGAGCCCCTCGGAGCACCTGTCCAGGCCAGGTAGAGAAGGAAGCTGGGCTCTGCAAGGAGGCGGAGACCAGGGAAAGGCGTGTGCAGTACTCTGGCTTCTTCCCCTCTTCCCTCTGTGCCCTTGAGGGTCCCTCCGCTCGCCTCCTCTGGCCCGCCGGCCCGCACTGGCTCTGTAGGCTGCTCTCCGCCCCCTTGGGACTGCTTGGGACCTGCTCCCGTTCTCTTCTCTTCCCTGCTCTTTCTTTTTGAGATCTAATTTTTGTGCCAGAGATTGTGAAAACCTGCATTTTAGGTGAAGTCCTGTAAGATTAATTTGAATTAATGTATTGAGGAATCCCACCGCCACTCCCCCCCAGAATCTGACACGGTCTTAAGGGCAGAGCACATTTTAAGATGAGTGTGTGAGCGTGTGAAGAGCTAGGTGGAGACTAAGGAGTGGCTTATACTAGAGAAGCGCGTTATTTCCAACAGCACATTCACCAGCCGTTGCTTGCTCTACAGAAATACAGACACGTGGACAATATCATGTTTGAGAACCACACAGTTGCCGATCGCTTCCTTGACTTCTGGAGGAAGACAGGGAGCCAGCATGTCGGGTTCCTGTACGGGCGGTACACCGAGCACAAGGACATCCCTCTCGGTATCCGGGCCGAGGTAGCTGCCATCTACGAGCCTCCGCAGGTAGGTGAACGCCGGCCTCGTGGGTCACGGGGCTCGCGGGTCACGGGCCTTTGTGTTGCCAGCACCGAAGGCCGTGCGGACCTCTGCTTTCAGACTTCGTTTCACTTCCTCTGCTCTGTCATTTGCCCTGTCTGTCTGTCTCTGTCTGCACGGGCGCACACGCACAGTCTTGGAGGGCGAGCTCACGGCCCCTGCGCGTTTCCGTGCGTATCTCCAGAGCAGGAGGACGCCGTCTTACCTGCCAGCAAGGACCCCGTCAGTGCCAGTAAATTGAACACTGATGGAGTATCTCAGTCTGAGTATCTCAGTGCTGTCGGCTGCCCAGAGCGCCACCGGGACGGCGCCCTCCCTTGTAATCTGTCTCCTTCACCCACATCTGTGGTCAGCCGGCCCAGAAATAATGGAGCCAGAGGGTCACAGGGCCGCTCGTGTCCTTTACCCCGCACCACACACACAACCGTCTTAGAATGGCCACCAGTATAGGACTGGGAACAGTTCAAGCGTTTTGGGGGGGTCTTTGGTGGAAGGAAGAGGATCCTCGGGCTGTCTGATGAGTGACCAGCAGCCATACTGTGAGAGTCACTGGGAAGGTGCTCTTCTGAGGACGGTGCTACTACTTAGGTAACACGTTTATATTTCATTTTTGGTATTTAAGGATTTTTTTTAAGGTTTTATTTATTTATATGATACAGAGGGAGAGAGATCGCGTGCACAAGCAGGGGGAGTTGCAGGCAGGGGAGAAGCAGCCTCTCCACTGAGCAAGGAGTCTCCATACAGACTTGATCCCAGGAGCCTGGGATCATGACCTGAGCTGGAGGCAGACTCCCTAGCCGACTGAGCCCTCATGTGTCCCAGGCTTGATTTTCTTTTCTTTTCTTTTCTTTTTAATATTTTATTTATTTACTTGACAGACAGAGATGACAAGTAGGCAGAGAGGCAGGCAGAGAGAAAGGGGGAAGCAGGCTCCCCGCTGAGCAGAGAGCCAGATGTGGGGCTCGATCCCAGGGCCCTGAGATCATGACCTAAGCTGAAGGCAGATGCTTAACCCACTGAGCCACCCAGGTGCTCCCAGGCTTGATTTTCTATATGGATTTTTGTTGTATGATTCTATGAAATATTTATACAGTATGATTCGTATATGTGTGTATATCTCACATGTATACCTATATATCTTCATTACAAGAGTGGAAACCATGAGCATTGAATTCTTCTTCTTTTTTTAAGATTTTATTTATTTGACAGCAAGGGAGGGAACACAAGCAGGGGGAGCAGCAGAGGGAGAGGGAGAAGCAGGCTCCCCGCTGAGCAGGGAGCTCGCTGTGGGGCTCGATCCCAGCACCCTGGGATCAAGACCTGAGCCGAAGGCAGGTGGTTAATGACTGAGCCCCCCTGGGTATCCCCATAAGCACCGATTTCTGGTCTGTGATGTGATGACGTACCCGGGAGGGGTGCTCGGGTGTGCAGTTCACTGTGACGGACAACAGAGAACCAAGAGGGTGTGAGGTGATGAGAGGGGCAGAGAGAGTTGAGTAGTAAGTGTTTGTGGCTGAAACTACATAGAGGTATGTGGGTCCTCACTGTGAACTTTTTTAAACTTTGCTGTGTTTGAAATTTGTAGTTAAAATGTTGGAAAAGAAAAAAGAATTGGCATGCTTCCACAGTTAGATCTACGAATAAGGTGCCCCCTTTCTCCTCTCCCTCTTTCCGGAACGTTTGGGTAGACGTCAAAAGTTTGAGCTTTCAAAGTACAAGCAAGCACACAGGTGGTCACACCACTCCCCTTCCTGCTTTGGCTGTGTGCCCTGCCCACTGCCCGTGGCGACTCAGCCCCGGGCAGCCGCCTTCTTAGGAAAGCCAGGGTCTGCCGGCCCGTGGCTCTCACGCGTGCCGCGGTCTCTCGGGCCGCCTTCGTGCGGACTCTGAGCGCAGCGTGCGGCCCTCTGCCAGTTTCCGTATTGCCCGAGAGCTGCGGAGGAGGTGTCTGCGGGGCGGGGCCTCCTGTGGTGGTTCATTTAAACGGAGACACCGGGTGTCAATGGAGACCCCGTGAGCTGGGGTCGCCTAACTGCCGGGGCGCCGGGTCCGCTCCGTACGCGGGGGGCGGCTCTTGGACCCCGCGCAGTGTGTTCGGATTCAGTTTTGGAGAGGGGGTCTTTCATAAGGGGCTGCAGCGGTCGTGTCAGGAGGAGGATCGAGTGAAACATGGAGGCAGAAACCTCTGGCGTCCAGACCGCAGACAGCATCACCGGAGCTCCTGACACGGGACTCCTGAAGGTTGAAACCACTGACCTCAGGAACCCACAGGTCATTCGGAGTCGAGGCTTCTGCCGCTGCCGGTCCTGAAAGCAGACCCTGAGACTGGTTCTCCGTGTGTGATGCGACCTGAGCTCTGCCCATCTGCGTCGCGCCACTACCCCGCAGCAGAAAGTTCTCGGGTTGTTTTGCCAGAATTTGACTCATTTGTGAGGGTAAACCCAATTAGGATAGCTTGGTTTGGGATTACCTTCGTCTTCCTGTCCCTGTGCCCGGGGTTTCTGCCAGGGGGGTTCTGTCGGTGACCCTCGAGCTGCGTTTCGGGGCGGGTGAAGGACTCCAGACCGCTCCGTCCGCTGCGGGGAGTTGGGGCCCTGGGGCCGGTTTAGGCCGCAGACGAGCCAGAGTCCAAGCCCACCTGCCGCCCCGAGCACCGTGCTCTGCCCCCCACCGCCTGCAGGAGGCTGACCGCAGGGGCCTTTTCCGTTCCTCTGCCCTCCCCCACTCAGTGCCTCGCCTGGGAAGCCCGGAGCTCTCCCCGCAGGAGCCGCACGCGCTCCGATAGCCTGTTTCCCGGAGACAGGGGTCACCTCGCCCCTGGACTCTTGCCTCACGTACCCGAACCTCTTTGGAAGGAAACTGTTTACCCGAAGGTGTTTTGAAACTGACTTTGCCCGGCGAAGGAACCCACCAAAAAAATTGTGTGAACGGCCTTCCTCAGGCCTGAGGGCGACCGTACACTTGACGAGAGACTGTGTGGTGTGCGCCAGCCTGAGTGTCTCCGTCTTCTCGTCCTCTGAGTCACGATTGGGAAGCACGGGGCAGCCTGGGGAGGGGCAGAGCTTGTAGGGCTCGGCTGCGTTTATCTGGATGTCAGCCTTTCTCTGCTGCCACAAGTCTCCTTTTTAGCAAGGGGCGGAGCCGTGCCAGAGTCGGGGTGGGTGGCTCTGGGCTCCTCTGAGTCTTCTTCCTTTACCGCCCTGACAGATTGGCACGCACAACAGCCTGGAGCTGCTGGAGGACCCGAAAGCTGACGTGGTGGATGAAATCGCCGCCAAGCTTGGCCTGAGGAAGGTACTGGGGGGCCCGGGCTCGCTCTCGAGCATCCAGGTGGGGGCACGGCCGGGCCTCGCCCGGGCCCGAACTCCAGAGGCTCGAGGTCAGGCGCAGGCCCAGCACACTGCAAAGCCTGCTCGTGTTTTCCGGATGCCATAGCTCTTACGTTCCTCGGGTTTGAACTAGAATATTTCTCTGATCCAAGTGAAATGATAACAAGTGACTGCTGTGCTGGGCTGTCGTGTCGAGGTCTGCCGGGCGCACTTCCCGGGGGTGGCTTCAGAGGGTGGGAGAAAGAGGCAGCGGAGCCAGACCCCTTTTTCCTGCCCAGGAAGGAGCCTTGCTGCTGGGTTGTGGGTCCTGCGCACAGGACCAGGCCCAGCCTCTTAGTGGGAGCCTCCCTTCATGTGTCCTTGTTTGACAAATAGATCACAAGTAGAGAGGCAGGCATGGTGGGGGTAAGCAGGCTCCCCGCTGAGCAGAGAGCCCCATTTGGGGCTCGATCCCAGGACCCTGAGATCATGACCTGAGCCAAAGGCAGAGGCTTAACCCACTGAGCCCCCCAGGCGACCCCTGAGTTTTATCCTTTATTTGTTAATCAACTTAGTGAGAAATGAACTCCCTACAGATAAACATGGAAAATAGGGAATGTGTTTGTAAGCCTAGGGGCTTGCAGAGCAAAGTCATTTTAACTAATGTTTAAGAAACACAGTCCTATTGTTTCTAGTAAGGAATCAGCATCTTTTTTTTTTTTTTTTAAGTAGGTGCCACACCCAGTGTGGAGCCCAAGGCGGAGCCCGTCGTGGGGGTTGGACTCACACTCCATGAGGTCATGACCTGAGCTGAGGTCAGGGGTTGTAGACTTAACCGACTGAGCCACCAGGTGCCCCAGGAGTCAGGGTCTTGATTTAGGGTCGTACTTTGGGTTAAGTTTTTGACGTTTCTCTTGTTCGAAAGGGAAGTTAGTGTAACTTTTGGACCTTTGTTTAGCGGTTTATGACCGCTGTGGTTGTAATAGACCTCCAAGGGCCGAGGCCTGGCTCTGCTCTGCTCACTGCTTTGGCCGGTCCACGCTGCAGGTCTCTGTTTCTTGGCTGCATCCTCCACGGGCTTTTTGTTTGCTTGGGTATTTTTGAAGAAAATGAAGTTCTCCACGTTGGCGTGGTCTTGTGTGCCGGAGATGGATTTGAAGACTTTTGTATCAAGGTTCTGCCCGACAGGTCATGGGCACCACGTCGCATCTCCAAAGGACGTGTCCCTGGGGTCCGGCCCCACTCATAAACCTCGCAGCCCGGTCCTGGTTCAGGAGGGCTACGGCCTGCACAGCACTAGACAGGCAGCTGCCCGGGACTGGCATTAAGGGTGCCGTAGCGATGGGCTTTCAGCTCCTTGTGCCCTCGCCTGCTCTCCTCAGTCCTGTAGCGGAGCGCAGAGGAGCCACTGGGTGAGGACTCCGTGGCGGTCGTCCTTATTTTCCGTGTCTTCTAGGGAGTCCATGTTCTTACCTCGTGGGTAAATAAAGCCTTAGCATCTGAAATAGCATCGTCTCTCTTGGCTTGCTCGTTGTCTGTCTTCCTCTTTGGGGTGTAGGGATTCTGTTAATCTTGTTCGCCCTGGGGTTCCCCCTGAACCCAGGACACTGCTGGGTACAGAGTTGCTGCCATGGGGCTTCTAACAACGTGAGCTCCGCTCGTGCACCATCGCCTGCGGTCCAGCAGCGCAAGAGGCCGGTGGCCGTTTTCAGCCGGGTGGACTTTGAAAGCCCTGGTGGCTTAGCAGAGGATCTGACTCGCCTACAAAGAATTGGGTCACAGGAGTCTCTTACAGAAATGCTCTTAAGGTCTCTGAGCAGAGGCCAGAAAATGTTCGTCACCTGCTTCAGAGAGAGGCTCAGAGGATCCTTTCCTTTTCCTGCAGGTTGGCTGGATATTTACAGACCTTGTCTCAGAAGACACCCGGAAGGGCACCGTCAGATACAGCCGCAATAAGGTAAGATCGGACGGAGTGCCCAGTGCCCGTGTAGCTCAGCCTGCAGCGGTTCTAAAGCCCATCCTGGCTTTTCTTTTTTTTTTTTTTAAGATTTTATTTATTTCTTTGACATGGAGGGAGAGAGAGCGCACGTGCATGCACAAGTAAGGGGAGCAGCAGAGGGAGCCCAGTGCAGGGCTCGATCCCAGGACCCTGGGATCATGACCTAAGCCGAAGGCAGACGCTTAATGACTGAGCCACCTGGGTGTCCCTCATCTTGGCTTTTAGATGAAATTATTTTCAACACTGTGTTCTTGATAAATTAAGGGTGGGTCTGTTGATTGTGACTCGTAGAGCAGCACCCCCCACCCCCCGGCCTTCACCCGCTGGTGGTTTTTGGAGGTCAACCCGTGGGGGTGGATGCCGGATGGTTCTGGTCTTGTTATTTGTGGTGGGAGAGGAGGGGCCCGTGACAGCTAGGGACTGCAGGTGTCTGTTTCGTGCAGTGTTGACAAGCCACCGTTCAGTCCTTGGTGTTTTCTGAAGAAGAAATAGGAGTATATCTCCGCGTGATGCTGTAAAACTGGACAGGCCGGCTCTCTTTTCCTAGGACACCTATTTCCTGAGTTCGGAAGAATGTATCACTGCAGGAGACTTCCAGAATAAGCACCCTAACATATGTCGACTCTCTCCAGACGGACATTTCGGCTCCAAGTTCGTCACTGCGGTGGCTACAGGTATGTGCTCTGTTCCTCTTTTGGTAGAGTTTCGTTCTGAACTTAGCTACCAGAGATTTTCTTAATGTGCCCTGGGACACGGATCCCTCTTTCTGTTTTATGGTAAAAATCCTGAACTCGCTGCATCGCCCGCAGAACCACTAGGACTGGGCTGAGTGTAGCCCTTCTCTCACCCACGCACGTTCTAAGTCGAGGTCAGCTTGATTCTGGATCTTAGCTCGGGGCTGCCTTCGCCCTTCCAGTAACTGAAGACGACTCTGGCTCTGTAGGAGGAAAGGATTTACTGTTTGTTCCTTATTTTTGACATTATGAGTGGGAGTCCTTTTAAGACCATTTCTGAGTGTGTGAGGGGGGAGAGAGGACACGTGTGTTGGATTCCACGTCAGTACGTTATAAATACGTCGTAAAAAATCGTGGCCTGTAAGAAGGTGCCATCACATCTCTCATAATACGCTTGGCCTGTTATCTTAGAAAAACACTGGTCGTAGGACTGTACAATTTAAAAAGAAGAGGAATTTTCAACTTGGAGAACCAACTTGTGAAATCATCGTCTGTTTGCTAATTTTTTGAAGTAAACACCAGCTTGGGTCCTGTGAGGACCCGGTTTCTGCTCTCGCTGAGCCGGAGCCCAGTCTGTTCACCGTCGCCGTCCTTCCACAGGTCTGTAGAAGGCTCCCCCAGTTTAACAAACACCAGTCTGCAGGGAGCCCAGACATATTGGTAAGTGACTGGATCCCCTCTTAATGCCATCGAGGGGACTGTCGTGAGAACCATGAAGAGGAACACCGCCCGAATTCATATGATCCATTTGGACGGACGGTCCCTTTCTTTTTGAAACGAGCGCGCTTCTGAGGCGGGAGAGGCAGCGGCAGCATCTCTCTCGGGCCCGTGTGAATCCGTCGCGTGGGTTGGTTTTCCTGGCACCGCTGTCGGGCCCGGTACTTAGGGGAGCGGACGGGAGTGTTGACCAGGGTTACGGGAAAGTAGTTCCTCGGCGCGGGGTGGTTCTGTGAGGACAGCCGGGGAGAGCAGCTTGGACCGGACGTCGGGGAGGGCACAGGGAGGAGCGCTTGTCGCGGCATTCGGAACTCGCTGCACCTGCTCTGTACCTGACCGAGGGCAGAAGCGCGCTGCCTTTTTACTTCCCGCAGCGCCGGAGGCACGCGTTCTGGGTACGGTTGTCTAGACTGGCGGTTCTCAAACCTGTCAGACACCCCCTTCGGAAACCCCCTCGTTCGGGATGTACCCTTTACTGTCTGGAGAGGGACACTCACAGATGACAGACGTCCCTGCTCGTGTGAATGGAGCAGAGGAACAGAGGGGCCACCCAGCCGTAGCGCAGAGCAGCCTGTTTCCACTCACCAGGGCCTGGGGACTGATGGCCCGCGGGGACAGACAGCACAGCGACTGACCTGGAGCGGCCACCTGCGTGCCGGCCTCCCTGGTGCCAGTGCCAGGCTTTCCTGAGACGCTCATCGAGCCTCCGGGAATCTCTGAGCTCAGCATGCCCCCTTCCGTCCGCCAGCTTGGTATCAGTCTCCTAGAGACTTCACCGCGGATTCAGACTGCGCATTGGTGTTTGTGCTCACATATAAAAAACGGCTGATTCTTCTTTGTTGTAAAGATTCTGTTTATTAGCACTCATGAGGGAGAGGGAGAAGCAGCCTCCCCGCTGACACAGGACTCGATCTCAGGACCCTGGGATCACAATCCTTTTTTGTTTTGGTTTTGTTTTTTTTTAAGATTTTATTTATTTATTTGACAGACAAAGATCACACGCAGGCAGAGAGGCAGGCAGGGGGAAGCAGGCTCCCCGCCGAGCAGAGAGCCCCATGCGGGGCTCGATCCCAGGACCCTGCGATCATGACCTAAGCCGAAGGCAGAGGCTTGAACCCACTGAGCCACCCAGGAGCCCCTTGTTTTTGTTTTCAAGATTTTATTTATTCGTTTGAGAGAGAGAGAGCCTAGGTAGGGGGAGCGGCAGGCAGAGGGAGAAGGAGAAACAGGCTGTACACTGAGCAGGGAGCCTGATGTGGGGCTCAGTCCCAGGACCCTAGGATTATGACCCGAGCCGAAGGTAGACGCTTAGCTGAGCCACCCAGGTGTCCCTAAAATACAGTTGATTCTAATCTGAGTTCATAAATGGGGGGTTTTGCCTATAAGAGCATGCAGGCACATTCAAGGTTGTGTGGGACATGGAATGGTCCTTTGTTGTATGGGACTCCCCCAAACACAGTGTGGTCTGACCTCTTGCACTCCGGCTGGCAGCTCCCCTCCCACACCCCTGGCCCAGGGCCCCATCATTGAGGGCAATCAAAAATTACTTCCACGGATTCCAGAACTGCTGTCTTGGGTTTCATGGGCTCCCATGGTAACCTAGACCTTTTAAGTACTTTGCCTGTGGGGAGTTACTCAGTGGGCCAAAGGAACTGGCACATTTTTAGAATTATAAATAGTTTCTGCTTGGGGCTGCCTGTACTTTCAGTTACTGATTCACACCTCTTGCTGGGAGGTTGGAGATCATCTGTGAAGTTTTTCCTTCAGCATTGCCACTTCGCTGAAAGGCTTCAGAACCGTAGACAGTAAATAATTTACAGTAAGATGTGCCGTTGGGGTCCCTGCATTTCTCTGCTGACGTCCCCCCTCATTGAGCCCTGTGATGAGCTCAGGCTCGCAGTTCTTCCGGGCTCCCAGGGGCAGCCAGAGGAGGGGCGGCCATCCACAGCGTCGCACATCTTGGACCTCCAAAGTGTGCTGTCCCCCTGTGTCAGTGGCTCTTGACCAGGAACGTGCCCCTGCCCCATGGAGCTGTTTGAACTGTGCTAGCCGTGCCCCGTCCCTGAGTCCCTGATGGGCTGGGAGGGAGCAGGCCTGCGTGTGTGTGGCCCGCTCCCAGGAGACTGACTGCTGCATCCGGGGTTTATGGTACTTCTGCATGTGCTGTGCTCACAGCTCCCTGAGCTGCTGCGGAAGCCGCAGGTGCCCCCCGCTCCCCCGCCTCTCCCTGCCAAGAGCAGCTCTAGCCTGAGACCTGTGGAGGAGGAGCTTTGAGAGTGTGGGAGCTCGAAGGGTCGGGGGAAGGGGAGTGCATCATGGAGCCTACGTTTAAACTCCCTGCCCTGGAGCTGGCCTCTCTGTGTCTCTGGGCCGTGAGCATCCCCTCCCGAGGCAGCGTCCCAGGCACCACGTGCCTCTGCCACAGGCCCTTTCCGCCCACGTGCAGCTTTCCTCCGCAGATTGGTGACTTGAGAAGGGAACAGTCCTATTGTTAGCTTCTCCCACTGCCTCGACAGCCCAGCCAGTGTGGGGTTTCTGGAAAGGATAACGAAACCCAGGAGGGCTTGCTGTCCTGCTTCTCCACACGGGAAAGGGCGGCTTACGGTTCCTCTCACTGAATCTACCTTTGGAGACTATCCATTTGGATTAATTTTGCTTTAAAAAAAAATTATTTGAGAGAGAGAGCGAGAGAGCACGTGTGGGGAGGGGCAGAGGGGAAGAGAGCGAAATTCCAGCAGATTCCATGACCCTGCAATCATGACCTGAGCTGAAACCAAGAGTCAGACACTTACTGACTGAGCCACTCAGGTGTTTTAAACCAGCTGGTTTTTTAAACCAGCCTTCAATTTTACAACTACTGTTTTCTGTGTTTCTCTGTTTTTCAAAGGCCGAGTGTTTTTCTCTTATGACCCATCACACTTTAATGCTAAATCTAAAAGCCAGGGCAGGGGTGCCTGGGGGGCTCAGTTGTTAAGCCTCTGCCTTCGGCTCAGGTCATGATCCCGGGGTCCTGGGATCGAGTCCCGCATCGGGCTCCCTGCTTGGCAGGAGGCCTGCTTCTCCCTCTCCCACTTCCTCTGCTGTGTTCCCTCTCTCACGGTGTCTCTGTCAACTGAATAAATAAAATCTTTAAAAAGAAAAAGAAAAGCCGGTGCAAATTTACAACACCTGAAGTCAAACAAGAGCCAGATGTACACTTGGGAGGGGTGGGCGGCCCTACAGGACTGCTTCCCCCCCCTTCTCCCCCTTTTCCCACTGCTCCTTCGCACCCAGTGTGCTCCTCTGTGGTACGTGACACGTCCCTAACCCCAAGCGCAGCAGAGAGAGGCCCCCTGCGTCCGTGGCCTCGCGTCAGACAGTGGTTGTGGCCAGCTCCCCTGAGCATGTGCGTGAGGGCCCGAGACCCTGAGCTTGCTTGTCCGGTGGGTCTCTGGAGCCCGCTTGCGCTTTCGGAAGCCGGGCAGAGGGCAGGCCCCTGGCTTGTCCCCTCTGAGGCTCTTCTGCCCCCGTCTTTCACATTCTCTGTTTGGCCACCAGGTGTGGTTTCTGGTACGTGTTTGAAACCCAGAAGAAATTTCTATCCCCGGATCAGTATTTTGTTTTTGTCAAAGAAACCAAAGTCGAGATGTGGGGTTTTCTTCATTCTCTCAAGGCGGAGATGATAGCAGACGTTAGTGTTGTCAGAGCCTCACCCGTCGGCGCAGGTGGCGGAGGAGGTCCGCCGTCCGCACCATGTGGTCTTCCCTCTTCCAGAGGCTCGGGGCCCACCATCCCCAGGGTGCCCTCCTCCTTTCAGGGTCCCATCCCAGCCAGGTGCCTGCTCCGTTGGACTTACTGGGTGGTTCCCTCTCAGCAGCTTTTGCACGGTCTGTGTCTCTAATCTGAAGTCCCATTCAAGGTTTTGTGGCGGGACGACAGAGCTTGGGCTGAAAGCCACACCGGGCAGTGCCCGGCTCTGGGGCAGTGTCTGCAGTGCCCGGGTCAGTGCTGGAAGACGGTGGGGCGGCGGTGTGGGCGGCTGCAGGGTAGAGACCCTGGTGCAAACTCTGGCCTTATTTTCGCCATTTGTCCCGTCCATTGCCATCGCCCTGCTCTATCCGCTCCAGAACAGGAGGTTGTTGGGACGCGGGGCTCTGCCTGCCCTTCCGCCCCTGGTGCTCCGCCGCTTGGTGCACCGGCAGGGCTGGTGTTAGGCGTTGGCGGGGCCACAGGTGCGTCCCCCTGCCCCACCTCCCCAGCCACATGCTCAGGCCACTCGTCTGGTGGCCGTCAGATGCCTTCGAACTCTTACCCAGGACAGACTCTGCGAGCTCATTTGTTCTGTGGGTCCAAGGGGACGAGTAACAGACACAGATTTGACTCGAACCTCCTCTGGCGGCCTCCCTCCATGAAGGTCTCTCTCGCGCAGGTGGCCCCGACAACCAGGTCCACTTCGAAGGGTACCAGGTGTCCAACCAGTGCATGGCGCTGGTCCGCGACGAGTGCCTGCTGCCCTGCAAGGACGCCCCGGAGCTCGGCTACGCCAAGGAGTCCAGCAGCGAGCAGTACGTGCCCGACGTGTTCTATAAGGTGAGAACGCTGCGGCCGAGAGTCGCGGCCGGAGAACGGTAGGAGCGCTGACCGGGGTGTGGCTCTGGTGCCTCCGAGCACGCCTCATCGGCGAGGTCCTTCCAGAGCGTGGGCGGCTTCTCTCCCGCACCCGGACGCGGGGCTGGGGCTGGGACGCCGGCTCGGCCGTTGCAGCACAGACGCCGTTTCCGTGTCTGAACACAAGGGCCTCCTGAGTTCCCGTCTTCCCCACGGTCCCAGGGAGGAGGCCGGGAGGTGTTCCACGACCGTGTTTCGAGTTCTGAGGGGGCCGGGCGGCCGGTGTCTTTTCGGTGTTTGGTTTCGGTGGTTTGTCATCGTCGTCCTCCTCCGGGGACTGCGTGTGTTTGGCTGCTTGAAGCAGTCCTGCAGCTCGTTGATGGTCCGTCCACTTGGTTTCAGTCTGTGTGTGGTTGTGTTTAAGATTTTACGTATGTACTTGAGAGGAGAGAGAGACAGCAAGAAAGAGCACGAGCAGGGGGAGCAGCCGAGGGAGAGGGGTGCAGGCTCCCCGCTGAGCAGGGGCCCCGACGCAGGCCTCGATCCCAGGACCCTGGGTCATGACCTGAGCCGAAGGCAGATGCTTCACTGACGGAGCTGCCTGGCTTCTTGCCATTTGTTTTTTTTCTGCGCTTCATTCTGAGTAGCCTGTGTCGCGGGGTTTTGCAGCCTGTGCGTCCTGACTCGTGTGCTGTCTGGGCTGCGACCGCGGCTGGCCCTGGGCCCTTGTGGCCCAGGCGCTGAGGCTGTCGCTGCCGCGCTCTCCCCTGCTGCTCCCGTGTCTGCCCTCGACCGCGAGCACACGTGCGGGGCAGTTAAGGTGAACGTCCCAGTGTCCTCATCTGTAGGTCGGTCTGTCATTTCTGGGTCAGTTTTGATGGGCCCGTTTGTTCCCGTCTGATGATGGGCTGTGCTCCTGGTGTTCCGAGACCTTGTGTCCAGCACGTGGATCATCTGTGGGTTTGCAGCTATTGCCTGTTTTTCCTTTGTGTCGTCTGTCTTTTCTGCAGGGGTTTGGGAAGTTTTTGGTGTGCGCTGGTCATGGCATATTAAAAAGCCACAGGCCCGGGAGGACCTTGCCGCCAGAGGGGGCCGCCCCTTCCTCCGGTGGGGCCATGGGTTGATGGGCCTTCCTGCATCGGCGGGGTACTTAGCTGGGTCAGGTCCGACTCGCGTCTGCGCGGGTCTCCGTCTGCTGCGGACTCTTGCCTTTCCCTAGAGTGTAGCCTCCAGACTTTGCGCTTTTGTCTCCTTGTCCCTGCCAGGCTGGGAGATGCATCGTTTGTCCTTAAGAAGTCTCCAGCTTGGCTGCCGCCTCGTGCAGTTTAAACACATGGACGTCCCGCCCCGTGTACCGCAGGAATTGTGCATCCTGCGACAGGGAGAGTGGCGGTGTGCTTGAAGCCCCAGCCCTGTGCAGAGGGGTCTGCGTCTGCAGCAGTGGCCCTCCACCGGGGGGGACCTGGTACTCGCAGCCCCCCGTGCTCTCCGCAGTGCGCAGAGCCTCGGTGTCACTCGGCACTCTGTCTGGGTTTTCGCTGCCCGGCTCTGTGGTTTCCAGGCCCTTCTGCCCACACTGCTCTGTGCCCGAGGTGCAGGCAGGCTCTAGAAATGCCGCAGGCTCACTTCCAGACCGCCACGGCGCAGATACGGCGATGCGGCAGGTCAGGTGCGCTTGTTTCGTTTCCCAGCGCAGGCAAAAGCTAAGGGTGCAGTAGGAGGATGTCTGAAAAGCCACGTGCATGCCTTAACCTAAAAATACTTCATTGCCGAGAAACGCTGAGCGTCCTCTGAGCTGTTAGGATGTCCGCTTTTTGGCCTCGCTGTGGGTGACTGCTGACTGAGCGGGGTGGCTCCCGCCGAAGGCTGGCGTGGCCACGGCAGGTTCTTAAACTGTGACGGTAGCGACGACTGCTGCATCGCCTGTTCTTTCACGACCGAGTCCTCTGGAGCATGAGGCGCTGAGGGCAGTTCACCCACTGGAGAGCTTCTTCCAGCATCCGTCCTCTCCAGCCCTGCTGCTCCCGCGTCGGCCAGTTTACGGAACATCAGAGATCACTGCTCACAGGCCCCCAACAAGGGTAGTAACAAGGTGGAAATGATGCAGGAATCCCCAGCATGTGGCCCAGAGACACGAACCCCATGTAAGCACATGCTGTTGGGAAAGTGGCACCGACGTCGCCGTGCTCCCCTGGGCTGCACGAGCCTGCCGCCTGATGACGCACGTGCTCGTGACGCCCCAGCAAGGCGGCGCGGCGAGGGGCGCCTGCTCCGAGGGACGACAGGGCCGCTGCGTGCCCCGCGCCGTGTCGGGCAGCCCAGCGCACGCCCACGAGCAAGGCTCCGCCCGCGCCCTCCCACGGTGGCTCCGCTCCGAGGCGGGCGCCCAAAGGCAGCCCCTGGGGATCTGACGCTGCAGCCTTGCCACACTTACGCCCTCAGATCTCCAACGGCTTTTGTTTGTTTTATTTATTTTAAAGATTTTATTTATGTATTTGACAGAGATCGCAAGCAGGCAGAGAGGCAGGCAGAGGGGGAGGAGGAAGGAGGCTCCCCGCCGAGCAGAGAGCCCGATGCGGGGCTCGACTCCAGGACTCTGGGATCACGACCTAAGGTGAAAACAGATGCTTCATGGACTGAGCCACGCAGGCGCCCCTCTAACAGCTTTTAAAATGCAGCTGGTAGGGTGCCTGGGTGGCTCTGGTCAGGATCCCAGGGTCTTGGGGTTGAGCCCTGAGTCCGAGTCTGGCTTCCCTGTAGTAGGGGGCCTGTTTGTCCGTCTCCTTCAGCCCCTCCCCATGCTAGTGCACGTGCGTGTGGGCGCGCTGTCTCTCAAATAAATAAAATCCTACAAAAGGAAAAAAGAGGCAATTATCAGTGCTATAGGAGTCCTAGGGAGCCCCCTCTGACAGGCTCATCATTCTTCAGTTTTTCTTACTTGTACCGCTTGTGTGTCTCCTCGTGTACCCCCGTGTCAGCGTGTTGCAGTGGGGTCAGCGGGGTGTGGTTTGCGGTGCGGCCGCCGCTCACGGTCCCGCGCTGCGCCCCCAGCCGTGCGGAGTCCGAGCGCGTTTGTTTCCACCGGTGGGAAGCTGCGCCCCTTGCTGGGGCCACCGGTGGTCTGCAGGGCTTTGCTTCTGCGAGTCGCTCAGCTGTCGAGTTCTGGTCCCCGAGTCCTGGTGTGCGTGTGCGAACACCTTTGGGGCCTGGAGGCCGGGCAGGCGCCAAGGCGTGGAGCTGGGAGGCGGTGGGACCTGGGGGTTTCTTCCCACCAGGTGCCAGCAGTCAGGGAGTGTCCGTGTTCCCACGCCCTCACCGGGTGTGGTCACGTGGTACCTTTTTCATGTACCTCTTCAATAATCAGGCTAAATATTTTCTTAAAGGTTCATTTATTTGAGGGAGGGAGAAAGCAGAGGGAGGGACTGGAGGCAGTGGGAGAGGGAGAGAGAATCCCAAGCAGACTCCGCCCCCAAGTTCGGAACCCCATGCGGGGCTTGATCCCGTGGCCCTGAGACCGTGACCTGAGCCGCATGCTCATCTGCCACCCAGCTGCCCCTCCAGTCCGGTGTTTCAGTGGCGTTCTGAGGTGTGACTCACATCCAGCACAATTCACCCATATTCACGGCCCGCGTCTGATTTTAGAACACTTTGGTCCCCCAAACAGAGACCCCAGGCCCGTAGCCGCCCGTCCCGGGACTCCTGGCGGTCATGCATCCACTTTCTGTCTGTGCGAGTGCCTGACGCGATCACGCCACGTGGGTGGCTGTGACAGGCCTGTTCGCCACTTTCCTGAGGTCTTTGGTTCTGGCCACGTCTGTGGCCGTGTCTTCAGTCTGTCTTCTGGACGTCGTGTGGTGCCGAGGGTGCTGGACTCCCGGGGCGGGCTGGATGCCCAGAAGCTGGGAGGCTTTGGGCCTCGCCCTGAAGAGGAACTTTTGAAGCTGGGGATGACCCCCTCGTAACAAAGGATTCACTTCCTCATCCGTCGGGAAGAGTAGAGGCCGGGTGGCGGCGCGGAATTGCATCGTCTGTGTTGATGGCTGACGGACAGGGGCCACCTGGGGGTGGGACGGGACGGGGCAGCGAGCGGGGGCCACCCAGTACGCCCAAGTGCTGCCTCCTGGCCCCTGCTCGGCTCTGTCCCTTCTGACTGTGGCTCAGCACCGTGGCTGCGGCTGAAGGTGCTGCAGGGTCCGCGGGAGTCCCGGGGCGGCCGGCAGACGCGGGGTCCCAAGGCATGAGGTGTGCTCACATCCACTGCTCTCTGCAAAGGCCTGCGGTGCGCAGGACATTGGCTCTGCTGCTCCGGCCCCTTCCGGAATGCCCCTTCCAGACTGCCGCGGCTGAGCAACTGTGCACTGGGCTGCCTCTCAGGTCTGGGCCTAAGAGAACTTGTGGGGAGGGCGCCCCTTTCCAGGGGACAGGAGCAAGAGGCTCCTAGCCCCTTGGGTAGGGCTTCCTCTCCTCTTCCTCCCCCGTCCCGTATGGTGTTTATTTATTTATTTATTTATTTAATTTCTTTTTTTAAAGATTTTATTTATTGACAGAGAGAGAGAGACAGCGAGAGGGAGCACAAGCAGGGGGGGAGTGGGAGAGGGAGAAGCAGGCTTCCCGCCGAGCAGGGAGCCCAATGTGGGGCTCCATCCCAGGACCCTGGGATCGTGACCTGAGCCGAAGGCAAACACTTAACGACTGAGCCCCCCAGGCGCCCTGTCCCATGGTGGTTAATAAACCGTCGGCACAGACCTCGCCCTTAGCTCCTGTCTGTGGAGCAGGTCCTCCAGTTTTGAACCCTGACTGCATGTTCGCACGAGACCGCACCGCGCGGGGCCCCATGCGGAGAATCGGAGCGCTCGTTATTGCCCTGCCTTAAAGTTCGCACTACGGAGATGCATTTGTGCCGTGATGTTTCATGATGAAGAATCAGCGTTTTGACTCATTTTTAGGACTGAGGCTGCCGTTTTGAGCGTTTGGACAGTAAT